CCTCCTCGCCACTGGGACCGAGCCCGTCTCTCCCAGTACCCACCCTCCACTGGGACCAGCAACCAGGCCTTCTCTCCCAGTACCTACCCCCTCCCTGCCACTGCGACCAGACCCCAGGCCCCCTCCCTGCCACGGGACCAGGCCCATCTCTCCCAGTACCCAGCTTCCACTGGGACCAGGCGTCAGGCCCTTCTCACCCAGTGCCCAATCCCCTACCACTGGGACCAGCCCCCCAAACCCAAGACCCCCCCACCACTGGGACCAGCCCCCAGACCCCTCTTACCCGGTGCCCACTCCCCTGCCACTTAGATCAGACCCCCAGGCCCCATTCACCCAGTACCCACCCACTCCCTGCTACTGGGACCAGACCCCTAGACTCCTCTTTTCCAGTGTCCATCCCCACCCTCCACTGAGACCAGCCCCCAGGCCCTTCTCTCCCAGTACCTACCTCCTCCCTGCCACTGGAACAGCCCCAGGTCCTTCTTACCCAGTACCCACTCCCCTGCCACTGGGATCAGACCCCCCCAGACGCTTTTCACCCAGTACCCACCCCCCCCCCACTGGAACCAGACCCCCAGAGTCCTTTCTCCCAGTACCCAGCCCCCAGCCACTGGGACCAGAGCCCCAGACCCCTCTAGCCCAGTGTCTCCCCACTGCCCTGGGGCCCAGCCTGTCTCACCGCAGTCCGGCAGGCTGCAGGGCATCTGGCGTGTGTTGGGGCCCAGGCACTCGGCCCCGTCGTAAAGGCGCTGCCGGAGCAGGTGGCGCTGGGACAGCTGCACGCCCGAGCCGCACGTCACCGAGCAGGAGGACCACGGTGCCCACGGCGCCCACAGGCAGTCCACTGCGGGGAGCCGGGGGGGTCAGAGTACAGGCCATGGTGAGGGGGAATGGACAGTCAAGGTCAGGGTCAAGGCCCAGGAGAGGTTGGGAAGAAGGAGAGGCATGGGAAGGGGACCTGTCTGGGCTGGCCCCGAGACACATGCAGGCCTGGAGCACGTGGGACAGTACTGGGGAGCGCGGGTCTCACCATTGCAGTCCTGCTGGGAGCAGACGAAGGCACCTCCACGACACACGCTGCAAGCAAGGAGGGGGCATCAGAGCCATCCTGTCCCTCCCCGGGGTCTGAGCCCTGTGTCCCCACTGCACCTGGCTCCCAGCCCCCACGGGGGCTACACCCCTGGGATAGCCGGGGAAACTGAGGCAGAGAGAAGCTGCAGCTTCCCCAGGTGCCACAGCAAGGCAGCGCGAGTGTCCTGCCCCCTTGCTCCAGCTCCGGAGGCTGCAGCCGCCCTCGCGTGGCACATTGGGGCACTTACCAGCTGTTGCACTGGTGGTGGATGATGCTGCCAGGCGCGTGCTCCTTCTCCAGCTCCTCCCGCGACAGGTTGGAGAACCAGGGGCTGGGCGGCGTGGGGCCTAACGCACAGCGGCAGTCCTCTGGCGGCACGCACGCCCCGTCCTGCACCACCTGCCACCACGACAGAGGCTGCCACTCGCTATGGGGACGTGACCCCGGGTCGGCGCCCCCAGGCCAGGCTGGAGACCCCCACCCTCAGGCCAGGCTAAGGCAGCCTCCCAGAGACCGTCCCCTGGGCCCTGGGCCCCCGCTGACATGGGGCAGAGCCATAAGGAGGGGGCTGAGGACCAGCCGGGGCCGTTAGCCCTCCCCTGAGCTGGACTTGGAGCCCACCTGCCCCTGCCCGACCTAGGGAGACTGGGGGCAGGAGCCATCCCAGGTGCCTTCCCCTCTGCTCTAGACTCCTCCCCCTGCTGCACTAGCCCCACCCACCAAGCCCCGCCCATCACCAAGTTCTACCCCTTCCACGTGCCCAGCACCACCCCTGGTGACCCCCCTTCTGTGTGCAGAGCTTAGTGGGGTGAGGATGGGGAGGGGGCTCATCCCATCTGGGCCTGGCCCAGGGGGTCGAGGGCTAGAAGCCACAGAGGCTGGCCCGGGAGGGCTGTGAGGGCAATGTCCCAAGGCCCTGCCTGGGTGGAGATAGCGGGCAGGGGAGTCTGGACGGAGCTGGCACCCACCTGGCCAGGTGGGCAGGCGCAGCCGGGCTCGCAGGGCTCCTGCTGGCAGGCGGTGCCCGGGCGCAGGTCGGAGCAGGCATGGGGGCAGGCGTTGGCGCAGTCGCGGTGCACCTGGCCGCCTGGGCACTCTGCGGGGGAGAGGTGGGGGAGTCACGGACCAGGTGGCCAGCCAACCCCCCCATCCTGCATTGAGCCCTGCCCTCCCAGCTTCCCCCCTGTACCCCAGCACCCCCTGCTGGGCACTGCCGCCTGCATTGGCTATGGGGGTGAGTGCCCCTGCTGACCCTGGACCCCTCCCTGCAGCATGGCACCCCCTGCCCTCCAGCACAGCGCCCCCTGCTGGAGCCCCTGCCCCCTCGTGGCACTCAGGGCTGTGCCCCCACTCCCATCCACCCGTGCCCCCCGCATCCCGGCCCATACCTGGGGCACAGCCATGGGTGTTGCACGGACGATGCAGCCGCAGCAGCTGGCCGGGGCAGTCCTGGCTCCCGCTCTCACCCGGGTCCAGCAGGTGCCGGCTCTGCTCCGAGATGCCCCCGCCACAGCTGGCGCTGCAGGGGCTCCATGCCGACCATATGCTCACCTGGCAGCTGGCTGCAGCACCGGGGCAGGGGGTCAGAGCCGTGGGGATGCCCCCACTGCATGGAGGGACCAGCCTCACTGCCCTGGGCAGTGGGAGGGAAGGAGAGGCCTGGCCCATGGCCGAGGACAGGCGTTGCGCCCAGCTGGGAGGGTGCCCTGGTGTGCCCATGCCAGCCAGGGCTGGGGGGACACTGAACTGGGTAGGCCATGGGCAAGCACTCCCCAGGCAAGGTTGAGAGGTGGGCACCATGGGGTAGGTGCTCCCCGGGCAGGGTTGTGGGACCGCGAGGTAAGCACTCACCGGGGCAAGGCTGCGGGTTGCAAACTGTCACCTCCTCCATGGCCTGGGCAGAGCAGGGGGCACCGTGGGGGCTCTCGTGGCAGGGCCTGTGGCGCAGGGCACGGCCCCCCCCGCAGCTCTGGGAGCAGGGGCTCCAGCCGGCCCAGGGCCCATAGGACGGGCACTCGGGGGCCGGGCAGGCGAATGTCCCGTTCTCACAAGTGCTGCGGGAAGCAGGCGGGTTGGGGGGGTTCTGAGCACCTTCCGCCACCCGGGTGCACCCCACTGTGCCCTGCACCCCCAGGGGCAGGGAGGAACCCCATTAACCCTTCAGCTCCCGCAGCGCTAGCTGCAGGAGGCCTCAACGCTCCCCCTGCCGCGGGACCTGGGGTGCTCCATGAGCGTGGTGGCAGCCGTGTCAATGGCCTCCAGCCCCTCTTACCAGTTGTGGCAATCCAGCTCAGCGGCCTGCCCAGGCCACAGCTCCAGGGTGACATTGGTACTGGGGAGCCCACAGCGGCACTCAGCCACAGGCACGCACACCCCATCCTGCAGGAGCTGCCCCTCGGGGCACCGGCACCCTGCGGGGAAGAGCGCAATGGGGGGTGTCACTGCCCTGGCCATGGAGAGGGGCAGAGTGGGTGTTGGGGAACAGGATGGGGGTACCTGGCTTGCAGGGGCCCTGCAGACACTCCACGTGGTCCCAGAGGTCAGCACAGGTCCGGGGGCAGCGGTTGGCGCAGGTTGGGGCATAGGCCTTGCCCCGGTCCTCACACTTCTCCCCTGGCAGGGGACATTGAGTCAGCACGTGGCCAGGATGAAAGGATAGGGGAGCTAGGTTTGTCCCACACCCAGCCCCTGGTGCCCACCAACCACGAGGGACCCAAAACCCTGGCACCAGCCTGGATTATAGCCTGGATGGGCACTGGTCAGCCCCAGGTTGGGGGGTTACCTGGGCAGGCAGCCGTGTTGCAGCTCTCGGACTGGGACCGGGCGCCACGGCACTGCTCGTCACTGGCCAGGTGCTGGGGTTGGCGCTGGCGCAGGCGGAAACCGCCGCTACAGGGCTCGCGACAGGGGCTCCAGGCGCTCCAGGGGCTCCACTGGCACGGGTCTGGGATGGGGGGCACAGGTGCAGAGAGGGGGCATCCTCCCTGCTGCAGCTACCCTCACCCCACGAGGGCTGGGGCAGCTCAGGGACCCTGTCCCACCCCCCAGTCTCCCCATGGACACCCCTGGGCCTGGCATTACCGTCGCAGATGTGGGGGTCTGGGCAGAGCCGCTCCTGCTGCAGCTGGGCAGAGCACAGCACCGCCTCGCCGGCCCAGGCCGAGCCCGTCTGTGGGTCCAGGCACACGCGGTAGCGCTGCTGCACCGAGGCCAGGGCCATGCTGGGCTCCCCGTCCTGCCAGCCGCTGCCCTGAGCCACGACCAGCGCCGTGGTGCCCAGGCCCAGCGCTGCCGGGGGCAGGCAAGGACCGCAGGGCGTCCACTCAGTCCAGTCGCTCAGGGGGAGAAGCCCTGCCAGGGACACACAGCCATGGGGAGGAGGCAGAGACACGGGGCCGAACTGGCTCCCGATTCACCCCGTGGGAGGGTGCCAGGCTCGGCTGGGCAGGGGGGAGCTGGGACAGATGAGCATGGGCTTGCCCAAGGCTGAGCCAGGGGTGCGGGATGCATCCATCTGGGGAGGCGCAGATGCCCCCACTGCCCTTTCCAGCTCATGACAGGCCTCAGCTCCCCGGGGGAGGGACCCGTGATGGGGCGAGAGGGGACAGATGCTTACCCTGGCAGTTCTGGCTGCTGCAGTGCAGCTCGCCCTCCTGGCACACACTGCAAGACAGAGCCATCGGTCAGCAGCGCCCCGCGAGCCCCGTGCCTTGCCCTCCCAGCCCCGCTCCTCGCAGCCAGCCCCGGCACTCACCACTCCTTGCAGCCCACGAGGATGGTGTCTCCTGCCACCAGGTACGTGGGGCCGTGGGGCTGGCCCGGCTGCAGGCAGCCGCACTGCGAGGGGGGTACGCACGCCCCATCCTGCTCCAGCAGGCCCTGCCGGGGGGTGGAGAAGGGGCCACGCATCAGCCACGGCCCCTCTCCTGGTCTCTGTAGCTGTTCCCTGTGCGCCATGGCACCCTGCCCCCCAGCCAGGTCCCACATCGGCACAGGCCGGTGCCGTTCCCTGTGCCCGTGGCTGGCGTGCCCCAGGTCCGTGAACTGCCGTGGGCTGTCAGAGCAGAGATCCACTGTGCCCATGCTCCCCACGTCCCAGGACCTCCTGCTCAACCTCCTCCTGGCGCTTGCCAACCTAACCATCTCTGACCGGGAAGGAGGACCCTGAGGACTGTGGGAATGCTTTCGTGTCCCTTGTGCGTTCACGTCTTGGGCAGCATCCGCTGGACTCGCTGGCGGGCCAGCGGGCGCTGTGCGGTGTGCTCTGCATCCCTGCTTCGGATGCCTGGTTTTGAACCTCACTCCCTTCCCTGTTCTCCTTTTACTCTGCCCCAAGAAATCAGCTGCTACTCTCGCTCTTAGAAAGGGAGGCTTGTGGTTGTTCTTGGTGGACACGGGCCCACGGACCCTTAAAGTTGCAAGCAGGTCTGTGTTACATGGGCAGAGCATGGAGGCTGAAGGGAGTGTGAATGGGTCTGAGCTGGGTTTCCCCCCGTTCCTCTCTTCCTGGCAGGCTCCAGCACTGAGGGTCCAGGATGTTGTGATGCAGGGGCCGTGCCCCTCGCTCCCTGCTCCAGAGCCTCTGATGCCCTTTTGCTCCAAGCACGTGGCCAACCCTCTGTGAATTTGGCTGAGCTCTCAGCTCTCGTCACGTCTGGTGGCAACACGCTCTACGCTTTAATGCTGCGCTGGGTGACACGAAAGACTCAGACTCATAGCAAATGCTGGTGGAAGGGACATCAGGAGGGCACATCTAGTCCAACCCCTGCTCCAAGCAGGACCAGCCCCAACTACATCATCCTGGCCAAGGTTTTGTCTACCCGGGTCTTAAACACCTCCAAGGATGGAGACTGCACCACCTCTCTAGGTAACTCATTCCAGTGCTTCACCTCCCTCCTCATGAGAAAGTTTTTCCTAATATCCAACCTCAGCTTCCCTTCCTGCAACTTGGGCCCATTGCTCCTTGTTCTGTCAATCCCTACTGACTTTCTCTCCGCCATTTAGTATTTTGTAAACTTTTCTCATCTCCTCCTGCAAACATCTCTTCTCTGCACTGACCAGGCCTGGCCTCTTCTGCTCATATGCCAGCCCCTCCATACCACTAGGGTCCTGGCAACTCCCCAACCCCGTGCCATGCTCACCTGTGGGCAGTAGCAGCCGGGCAGGCACTGGGGCAGGTCCCGGCACAGGTCCTGGTGCTGCCGGGTGGAGCAGAGCCCGGCGCAGGGCGAGCCGCACTCCCGAAACTGGAAGGGCGGTGCACAGCTGGCCTCTGCGGGGATGAGGATGGGTGAGTGTCTGCACTTGGCAGCCATGGACCCATTCCCCCAGGTCCTTCCAGAGCCCCAGGCAGGGCAGGGGACCCTGGGCAAAGTGAGCAGGGAGCCAGGGGGAGTAAGGATGCAGCCCATACAATGGGTGTATGGGACACCATGCTGGGGGAGTAGTGCCCATGCCACTGGTGCCCTCCCCAGCCCCTCCGTGTGCCCCCGGACTCCGCAGCCCCCAACCCGTGCCCGAGGCCCCCTCACCGGAGCACTCGGTGTAGTCGCACATGCGGAACTGGCCATCCAGCCCCACGCAGGCGTCGGCCGCCGCGGCCCCGCCGGCAGCCCACTGGTTGCGGTAGCGCTGTTGCACCAGGAAGCTGCAGGAGCACTGGGTCCAGGCCGTCCAGGGGCTCCAGGAGCAGGCGTCTGGGGGCATAGAGCCGGAGGGCTGAGGCTTTCTCCCTGCCCAGCAGCTGGGCAGAGACCCCAGGATGGGGGGTACTGCCTGGAGAGCACAGCTGCACATGGGCACTCTCCCTTTGCCCCTGCAATGGGTGAGGGTCATGTGTGTCTCATCCCCTCCCAGCTCTCTCTTTGCCTCAGTTTCCCCTCTGCATCCTGGCAAAGCACTCTGGGAGCCAGAAAGGTGCCCTGAACACCTCTCCTTACTGCAGAGCTGGGGGGTGTCTTCCTGGGGAAGCTCAGCCCTGCGGCGTTGGGGGTGGGGGGACAGACGCACAGGGGTGCTGGCTGGATGTGCTCCGTAGGTGGATGAATGCAGACATCGGGCATCGGTGCCAGACTGCAGATGCCCCTAACCCCCAGCCTGGAGCCCACCTGTCAGGGCCTTACCTTCGCAGGCCCGCAGGTAGCAGGGCTGCAGCTCCTGGCGGGTGCTCTGGTTGCAGGAGGCACCGGGGTCCTGCGGTGTGGGGCAGGCACAGGCCCCACTGCGGGAGGCCAGCCCCGGGCCGCAGGACCGCGAGCAGGGACCCCAGCTGGACCACACACACTCCTCGGGTCCTGTGGGTAGCAATCGCAGTCACGGGGCAGCCGGGCAAGCAGGACCCTGGGGGTCACGTCCAGCCTCCTGCTCGGGCCAGGAGCTGCCCCGCCTGCACCAGTTTATCCAACACTGCACGAGCAGCCATGTCGCATGGGCACCATGCCCCAATGCACCGAGGGCACCCTGACCTGCCCCGGGGAGCGCCGGGGGGTGAGGTCTGGCAGTGCCCTGGTGCTGAAAGAATGGGATGTGGGTTGTTAAGTGCACTTGAGAAACCCCAGGCTGAGGCTGTGCCCCAAATGCTGAGGAAGGCAAAACCCCCCAGTGCACACCAGTCTGAGCAGGAGGGAAATCCCTTCCTGTCCCAGTGCAGCGTTGGGCCGATCCTGAGAGGAGGAGCAAGACCCTCCAGCCAGGACCCTGCAGGGATGGTGCCAGCAAGACCCCCAGGTCCTTCTTCGCAGAGCTGCCACCCGGCCAACCTTCCCCTGGGCCTGTCCTTACCTGGACAGGGTGGCGTGGGGCAGTCCTGGGCCTCAGCTTTGGGGCCGGCGCAGTCGGAGCCGTCATTGCGGGGCGGGGGGTTGAGGCAGGCCCGGGTGCGGATCTGGGTGCCGGGGCCGCAGGTGACAGGGCAGTCGGACCAGGGGGACCAGGGTGTCCAGGCACCATTCACTGCAGAGGGAACGGGGCGTGAGTAGGGTCCCGCAGCGGAGAGAAGCCGGGATGGAGGGGATGGGGGGCACTCACCCGCACAGGCGATGTCCTGGCAGTAGATGCCCTCCGGGGTGCAGATGCTGGAGAAGGGGCAGGCAGAGCGGGAGGGTCAGTGCAGCCCAGCCCCCCCCCACTGACCCCCTGGTGTTAGCCCCCTGCTGAGGGGAGAGAGGGGAGAACCCAGGAGTCCTGGCTCCCAGGGGGCTGCACTGACTGCCCCCCATGCTGTCCTGACCCCGTGGCACTGACCATTGCTGGCACTCGCCCTGCAGCCAGGTATCTCCCAGGCGCCGGTCACTGCCCTCGAGAGGACACAGCGGGGGACAAGGCCCCGGGGCGCAGGGCCGGCTCTGCAGCTGCTCCTGCTGGCACTCGGCCGCCTCCGACCCCGACGTGGGCGTCCTGGAAAGCAAGGGGGGCAGAGCATGAGAGCATGACTGGGACATGGCCACAGGTTGGGAGAAAAACAACTCCCAAAGGGCTGGGAGCTCCCCACGCCAATGCCCCCCAGCCCACGGCAGGGGGGGCCCACCTGAAGCGGCTCTGGCGGCCGTGGCTGCAGGTGAGGCTGCACTCGGCCCAGCTGGACCAGCGGCTCCAGGCGCAGTGGGAGGGTGGGCAGGTGTGGTTGGTGCACACGAGCTGCCCGCCCGCGCACGTGCAGTTGTTGCAGCCGTCGTCCCGCAAGCTGCCCGGTGCCCAGCTGTGGCCCTGCGTGTCCGTGCACTCGCACAGCTGGGCTGGCACGCACACCCCGTCCTGCTCCAGGGTCCCTGCGGGGTAGAGGGGAAGGTGATGTGGGGCAGCCAGGGCCTGCTGGGAACACACGGAGCCCATCTGAGCCCTGCAGGGCAATGCACGTTGGGCTGTGGTGCATGTGCATATGCATGCGAGTCCATGTGCATGTATGGGTAATGGTATGTACATGGACAGGCACATGCATGTGTGTATGTGTGTATACGCACATGTAAATGTATGTGTATTTATGGGTGTGAATGTGCATGCATTTGTGTGCATGTGTGTGCGTGTGCATGAATGTGCTTCTATGGGTGTGCATTTGGGCATGTGCAAGAGTGTGTGCGCATGTATACACATGTGTGTACGTGTGTGAGCACTTACGCAGCGCTGCCTCTTGCTGGGCAGCACCACATTACTCAGAGGGGTGTCATAGGTCCCATACTGCACACCGCACATAGAGAGTCCCCTGCAGGGCAGGGGCAGGATCCCACCGCTATCCCCACTCCAGGGAGAGGGCATGTGACCGATGAGGGGTGTCACCAACGGGAGGAGCACGATGCCTGAGCAACCCCCCTCAACCCCAAGCAGAGCCAGTGACCCCTCCACCCCGCCACTGCAGCACCCACCGTCTGGGCAGCGGCAGCCGGGCTCGCAGGCCTCCGTGTCCTGGCACATGATGCCCTCCTGCAGGTCCCCGCAGTGGCGTGGGCACCTGTTGGCGCAGTCCACCATCTCCATGCCTGGTGGGCAGCCCTCCTCTGCGGGGGGCACACGTTAGCTTAGCCCCAGGCTGGGAGAGACTGCCTTAGGGGGTCTTGGGGTTGTCCTTGCCTCTGCCGATGACAAGGACAAGGGCCCCCCGCACCTGTCCAGGGGCCTCCCCTGGGCCCTGCCTCCCCGCTGCCTTGGTGGGGGGACGAGTGAAGACCCCCAGCCCAGCCCCTTTGCTGCAGGCCAGGGCTGCTCAGCCCAGCACAGGGGAGCTTGGGGGCCACATCTGACTTCCCCACCTGGCTCCGTACCCCCTAGGAGGTCCCTGAGACCCCTGTACCTTGCACGGACCCTGCTGTGCCGCAAACCCCCAAGGGGTTCACATGGTGCACAGCATGACCCCTGACCCCAGGACCTGCACTGCATCCCGGGGGACCCTCCAGCACACCCTACAGATGGGGTCCCACGCTCCTGCCCATGACCCCCGCTCTCCCTACCGCAAGGCCGTGGGTTGCAGACACGGACATGGTGCTTCTCCCCGGGGCAGCGGCGCCCGCCATTCTTGGGCGGGGGGTGGGTGCAGGTGCGACTGCGCACGGAGCGACCCCCGCCGCAGGTGCGGTCACACCACGACCACGGGCTCCACTTGGACCAGGCCCCGTCCACTGTGGGGAAGAAGAGCCGTCACCCCCCAAACCCAGCTCTAGGCAGCTCCACGAGCTTGTCCAAAACCGGGCTTGGCACGGGGCAGATCTGGGCTTGCTGTGAGCCCCCCTACCTCTGCAGGCTTGCAGGTTGCAGAAGCGGCGCTCGGCGTGGGCGCTGAGGATGCCCTCGCACCAGTGCCCACCAGGGCCAGGTGGGTGGTAGGCACGTAGGCGTTGCTGCTGCCCCACACCACAGCTGCGCGAGCACGAGCTCCAGGGGCCCCAGCCTGTCCAGCTGCAATTCATGCCCGCACACTCCTCGCCCAGGCATGGGGGCACGTCTGTGGGGTGGAGAGGGGCCCAGTGAGCGGCCATGCATGGGCTGGGGATGCTGCAACACCCAGGGCCTGCATCCATCCCTGTTCCCTGCACGCAGCCACCCTGGACCCCTCCGAGGGACGGTGCCTGCTGCCCCTGTATGCGGGGGTCTTTTGCTCCCGAGCCCCGGAGGAGCTCAACTGGGCCTGCCCCTGAGCCGACTAGGACCTGGGGCTGTGAGCGGGGAGAGCCCGGTGCGCCAGCTGAGGTCAGCCAGCTCATGTCACAGGTGAGCCGTACCCCAGGACCCTCAGCCCCCCCAAACCTGTGCACTGAGGCAGGTTGCAGGCCCGCTCCTGGAAAGCCTCCCCCGTGCAGTTGGCTCCTGCCGCACAGAACCGGGTCCGGGTCTTCAGGGCCGGGAGCTCGGGGTCGGTGCAGGTCCGGGAGCAGGGCGTCCAGGACGACCAGGGGCTGAAGCCCTCCTCGGACCCTGTGGTGTGGGCACACAGGGTAGCACAGGGTTAACTCATAGGTCTGGAGGCCACCAGTGGACCCCTTGCAGGGGGAGGAGCATTCTGGGGAAACTGAGGCACGGAGAAAAGGAGGGGTGCGTCCCAGCCAAGCAAAGGATATTCACAGCCCCCCATCCCAGCATGGCCCCGTACCTGGGACACTGGGCACCGGCTCCTTCGTGGGACCTTCCACCGCTGAGGGGGGAGAACAGAGAACAGGGGTTCACCGTGCAGCCGCCGCCCCAACCCCCAGCACCCGCCTGGATCCCGGGAGAGACCCAGACGTCCTCCTGCTGCCCCCGACACTGGCTCACCGGCACAGTCGGGCGTCTGGCAGTACTTGGTGTCCGTCCGGGGCCCGATGCAGTCCTTGCCCCCGTGGGCGGGCGCGGGGCGGGTGCAGCTCCGTGACCGCGTCATGTTTCCCAGCCCGCCGCACGTTCGGGAGCAGGAGGTCCAGGGGCTCCAGGCGCCGAAGCCCCCGTCCAGCGGGCACGGGGTGAAGGAGCAGTTGAGCTGCCCGTGCTGGCAGGTGCTGGGAGGCGAGAAAGGGCCCCAGCGTCACGGGGAGACGGCGATGCCTGGGGGCGACTGTCGTGTGGCTCTGAGCTCGGACACGGGGTTTGCCTGGGGTGTTTTGGACAGGCCTGATCCTGCCTCAGGCTGGGCTTGGACTGGATGCGAGCCTGCAGCTCCCTCCCAGTTTGACATCTCTGTGCCGCTATGATCTGACGACACGGCTCCATGCACCGATCCAGCGTGGAGCAGCGCCAGCACGTGGGCGCAGGGCCCATGACCGCCCATCCTCCCGTGGCTGCCAGAGTGCCCGGCAACTCACCAGCTGCTACAGCCGGAGCGGAGGCTGCCGCGGTGTGGCACCTCCTGGCCAGGCACGAGGGGGTGGCCCTGGGCGGTCACAGCGGTCAGCAAGGCCCCAGGGTCCGCGGAGATGTTCTGCAGCGTCCACAGGATGTCCTTGCTCAGCACGCAGGGGCACTCCTGCCGGGGGGCGGATGGCACAACTCAGGGGAAACCCCTTGCCATGCAACGGGGGGTGCAAACAGGCAGGGACCAGCCCTCTAACCCCCAAACCTCCCAAGCGTCGGTGTTTCTGCACGGCCACGGCCTGATCCGCACGCTCGTTACACTCACGTTCAGCTTTGCAATGTTCACGAGAAGAAACCAGCGCATCGCTTTTTATGCCGAGGCCTTGTCTAACTCAGCAAGCCCCCTTAGCCCCCAGCCATGCCTAGAGGGGTTCCCTTCCTGAACCCCCATGCACAGGAGCGGATGCAAATGCAAGAGTCCCGGGGCAGGGAGATGTGGTGGTCCCCTCCCCTCCCGCCCCCGGGGTACCTGGGCTGGGGGCTGACCTGGAGGCAGGCGCCGCGGTGCTGCAGGGTGCCGGCAGGGCAGTGGCAGCCTTCCTCGCAGCCGTCCGAGAAGCAGTCCATCTGTCCGGCCAGGTGGGCGCAGCTGTAGGGGCAGCCCTCCTCCTGCAGGCACTCGCGGTACAGCCGCTCCGCCGGGCAGCCCACCTCTGGGAGAGGCCGAGAGGGTGCTCAGAGCCCGCTCCCCACGGCAGGAACCCCCCGGGTAGAGGAAGCAGGGGAGGGTGGGGGGCCACTCACCAAGGCAGACTTGGGTGTTGCAGGTCTTGCTCTGCACAGACAGGCCCTGGCAGCCGGGGCGGAGGCACTCCCGGGTGCGGATCTGCTCCCCGCCGCCACACGTGACGCTGCATGCACCCCACGGGGACCACGCGCTCCATGGTGCTTCCTCTGGGACATGCAAAGGGGGGCGGGACGGTGAGACGAGGCTCCCCAGGATGACCCCCTGCCCCTGAAAGCAGCCCAGCTCTGCCTCCTGGCCACTTGCACAGCCCTCCCAGCCTCAGTTTCCCCCTTTCCCTGAGTGCTGCCCACTGAGATGGGAACGTCTCTGGCACACACGGCCTCTTACACACGTGCAGCTCCAAGCACTCTAGGCCAGGAGGTCTTTGCAGTGACCTGAGCTGGACGTGCCTGGTGCGACGGTGCCTCCCATTTTGCATCCTACCACAGACGGGGACAGCTACGACGTGGCTTGACCCCCACCCCCTGCAGACCCCCCACCCCTCGCCCTGCAGCTCTCATCCGTGCTCAGCCCCGTGTCCTTTGCCCCGTCACCTTCGCAGGGGAGCTGCCCCCGGCAGGCTCTCTGCTGCTGGCTGCCCCCGGCGCAGCCCCGGCCCCGGTGCTGGGGCGCGGGGTTGTCGCAGGCTCGGCCGCGGGCCTGGGTGCCCTCCCGGCAGCGGTGGGAGCAGGGTGACCACGGCCCCCAGGCACCCCAGTGCCCATCCAGGTGGCAGGCAGGGTCGGCGTGGCACTGCACGTGCCCGTCCTCACATGTGCTGCAGGGAGGGGGGAGCTCGTTACTGCCGGCCTGGCCGTGGACCCCACACTACCTGCATCCGCCAGCTGCCCCCCCCGAGTCCACAGGGATGTGCTGGGACCTGGCCGTCCCCCCAGGCCAGCCACAGCCCCCGGGGCACCTGCCTCGCTACTGCCCCCTCGGGTCAGAGCTCAGCTGCACCCCTGGACTCACCAGTTCTGGCAGGGCCCGTGCACCGTCTCTCCGGGCTGCACGTATTCCCACGGGGCAGGGCCGGCCCAGGCTGGCAAGGTCCGGTCTTCGGGAGTCCCTGTGGGTCCAGACACGGGAGACATCATCCCCGCTAGCCCCCATAACTGCTGCACCCCAGGCACAGGATGAAGTGCAACCCGGCCCACGGGCTGAGCTGGGCATGGGGCAGGGAGCCAGCCCAGAGGGACCTCTGCTTGCAACCCAACAGTGTCTCGCCGCATCGTCCCCCCCTACCCCACGTGTCTCAGGGTGGGGGCTTGGACCTCGCTGCTCCCTTCTTGCCAGGCCAGGACTGGCGCAGGACCCCCTAACCCTGCCTCTAGCATCATAGTCACAATGAAGCAGAGCTAGGAGGGAGCTGCGGGGCCAATCCTGCTAAGGCAGGATCAGCCCCGTCCAAACTGGCCCAGACAAACCCCGTGTCCGACCTCAGAGCAGCACGACAGTCACTCCAGGTATCACCCTTGCCCCTGCCGCCTCCCCACCAGGAAAGCAAAGGGGCCGCAGCCGCCAACGTCCTGCTGCTGCAAAGGGGGGTCATGGATGCTGCAGAGACCCCAGGCCCAAGCCGTGCCCCTGCTGCAGAGGAAGCAGAAACCCCCCAGTCTGGACCCCAGGGCCCACGCCGCCCCGGGCCCAAGGCTACTCACCCCATGAGCCGTTCTGGTACTTGCAGCGGCACTGCCCCGGGCTCACGCAGGCTCCGTCCTGCAGCAGCCGCCCTTCGGGGCAGCCGCAGGTGGGCTGGCACTGCGCGCTCTCCAGGCAGCCAGCATCGGCTTGCAGGTCCTCGCAGGAGCGGGGACACGGCTTCCCACAGGAGAAGGTCACTTGCCCCCCACCGCAGCCTGAGGGAGGGCATGGGGGGTCAATGCCCAGTGGGGCACAGAGCCAGGCGGATGCGGGTACCCGCGGTGTGTTGCCACGGAGACCGCAGGGATGATGCTTCATCCCAGCACCCCACGGCCCTGGACCGAGCCGGGAGACCTGCCCGGCTGTCATTGATGCCAGGGCAGAGACCGGGGCCTGGGATGGGGAAGAGTGGATAGTCCCCGGTGGGCCATGGAGAGGCCAGCCGGCATCTCACCTTCACAGGCGGTGGCCCCCTCGTGGCACGGCCGGCTCTGCCAGGCCTCCCCGGGGCAGGGCAGGCCCCCGAAGCGGGCAGGGGGGCTGCTGCAGTCCCGGCTGCGCGTCGACTCCCCGCCGCAGGCGTCGCAGGGCGACCAGGGGCCCCAGGAGCTCCAGCCGCCGTCCACTGCCAGCAGGACAAGGGCATGAGACCCAGAACTGCCCCGGCTGACCCTCTTTGCTCGGCTGGGCCCTCAGGGGGGCAGGGAGGGACACGGGGTCTCTGCCCCATGCTCCGGGTACCCCCTGCAGTCCCATCCAGCCAGGGCTCTGGGGAGGTGGTGGGAAGAGGGAGCCCGCACCTGGGCAGAAGGTGGCAGAGGGGCAGTCCTGGCGCTGCAGCTGGACACCGGCGTCCCCGTGGCGCTCCTGGTCCCCGGCACAGTCGGAGCCGCCGTGCTGGGGCTGGGGGCAGGCGCAGGCACGGTACCGCGTCGTGGCCTCGCTGCCACACGTCCTCGAGCAGGGGGTCCAGGGGGACCAGTCGCACCAGGTGCCAGGCACTGGGGGATGGAGAGGCGGGCAGGGGTTGGCATGGGCCACCCCAGGGACTCTTTGTCCCCCATCCTGGCTCCCGCAGCCTATCAGTGGGGGGGCACAGGCTCCCCACACCCTCCCCTGGAGACCCCCCAGACCCCCTCCAGCCTCCGGGATCCCCCCAACCCATCTCCCCACCTCTTGCAGGGCACCTCATCCCTCGCCCCTGCTGTAGCGAGACCCTCCTGGCTCCTCACCTGGGCAGGGCAGGCTGGTGCAGAGCATCTTCCCCCCGGTGCAGGTGCTGGGGAGAGGAGACGAGGGCAGTGAGGCCAGGGGTGCGGGCCCAGCCGTGGCCCCCGTGGTTTGGAGCCAGCACGCAACGCAGGGTTTGGGACAGGAAGCAAAGCACCAGGGCATGCTAAAGGTCGTCTCCAGGCTCTGCTACCCCCTGCCCCTCACCAGTGATTGCAACCATCGCCCCGGGGCACGGTCTGGCCGGGCAGGTGCCGGCGGCCGCTGAGCAGGTCCAGGCAGGTGCAGTCCCGCGGGTCCACGCAGGCTGTGCCGTTCTCGCTCAGCACCTGCCCGTGGGTGCAGTAGCAGCCAGACTCGCAGCTCCAAACGCAGTGCTGGGGACACAGGGCACGGTCAGGAGGGGACCGGGCTCCCAGGCTGCAGCATCCCCCTGACGCGCTGACACGCTGGGGGATCACGGCATCAGGAGCAGGGGAGGCAGCAGTGTGGGGTGCCACCCTGGCAGTTTTAGGGGGACTCTTACCGAGATGTCATCGCAGGATCGGGGGCAGGAGGGGCCGCAGCGGCTGTACACGGAGCCCTTCACGACTGTGCACTCCAGCGCTGTGGGTGGGGAGAGGCAGGGTGTGAGGGTGGGACCCATGTTACTCCAGGGACTCCCACCCCACAGCCCTCTGCCCAGCTGGCGTGACTTCTCCAGCCCATTTGCAAGGGTGGAAAAGTATAGCATCCTTTTCTGGCACCCCCACCCTGCCCTGCTGGATGCCCCCATTGCAGCCCAGTACCCCCCAGTATCACCACCCACCAGACCGGCCCCACTCACCTGGGCAGTCATGGGGGTGGCAGGCCTCCACCTGGGTGGGGGTCCCCTCACAGTAGTCGCCCTGGCCCTGGGGCGGAGGGCTGTCGCAGCCGCGGGTCCGGGTCCGCAGGCCCCCGCCGCAGCTCCGGGTGCACTCGCCCCAGGGGCTCCAGGCACCCCAGCCCCCAATCCCTGGGATAGGCACTGCCGTCAGTCCCTGCCCCTGCACCCGGAGTGGGGGGTGCATGCCCCAGGTGGAGACCCCCCCGAACACAGCCACACAGAGAGGAGCCTGGGCCAGGCTGCTGAGACCCAGAGACCTCCCCCTCCCCACCGCCCCTCCAGACTCCAGCATCCCCCAGCTCAGCCCAGGGCACTCACGTGAGCAAGGCTGGAGGTGGCAGGGCTGGACCTCGCTCTCGGGGCCCAGGCAGGGCAGCCCGGTGCCGGCGGGCGTGGGGTCCGTGCAGAAGCGGTACCGGTTCTGGAGGCCCAGCCCGCAGGAGGCCGAGCACTCGCTCCAGGGGGTCCACTCCGACCAGCTGCCATTCGCTGTGGGGGAGGAGCGGGGGCACCATTACAGGGAGGCTGGCAGCCCCCTGCACCCCAGGGAGCAGAGAGGGTCTTCCCAGACCCATCCCAGCCTGCAATACTCCCCCTCGGGGACAGCTCGGGGGTGGGGACCCGGGTGCCTCTGGTCCATGCCCAGGGGTAGGTGCTGGCTGCTATGACTGCTGTGTTCGGGGAGCAGAGCTGGGCTGGGGCCGCGGGGTGATAGGGGCTGCCCAGTGACCCAGGGCAGGCCAGGAGCAGGGTGGGCACAAGTGGGGAACAGCCTTTGGGTCCCCACGAGTGAGGGGGTCCCAGCAGTGGGACCATCCACTTCTGGGGGTACCAGATTGGGGGGGCACCCACTTTCCCTGGGCTCCAAGATGTCCCGCAGGTGTCCAGCTCTGCCTTACCATGCCCGCAGGGCCCGCGGGAACAGTTGGAGACGCGGCCGGACACGCAGGAGCTGGGGGAGGGAGAGAGCAGGGGTCAGCCCCGGAGGACACGGGACAGGGGCGTGGGGAGCCGCGGGCGGGGCGCACTGACCAGCTCTCGCAGCCCCTGGTCACAGTGTCGCCGGGGCGATACAGCACGCCGGCCTCGGTGCACGGGCACTCGGACGCTGCCACGCACTGGTTGTCCTGTGGGCACACGGCATGTTGGACACCCCTAGCCCCCAACGTAGCTTCGCTGGGACCCCAGACCGGGCAGTGGGGACCGTGGGGCCTCTCTTCCACCTGCTGCCCCCACGGCCGCATCTGGCGCCGGCCCCTTACTTCCCAGCAGGACGGCACCGGGTGGGCAGTAGCAGCCGGCGTGGCACGTCTCGTTAGCCAGGAACGCTGTGCTCAGCTCGGCACACGAGGCTGGCACGTCGGCGCACTCTTGCCAGACCTTCCCAGCTGGGCAGACACCGGGCTTCTCGCCTGGGTGTGCGGAGAAAGCGGGGAGATGGAAGAGGGCACGATCAAGCATTTTTGGGGTGGCTGGCAAGTGCCCCAATCTGGCAAGGCCCCCGCGGCGCCGGCCATGCATGGGACACTGGGGTCAGAGGGGAATGGGGGTGTCCTGGCTGTATTTCTCCGATGGCCGGAGAGGGGGCACAAGCCGGAGCTGATGGGCACGGAGCTGGGAGGAGGCTCCAAAGCTGGGTTTGGGGGATCCAGGGGCTCAGACAGACAGACACAGCCTCACCAGCACAGGGTTGGAGGTTGCAGGTGGCGAACTCAATCCGGCGGAGGGTGGCGCTGGCCCGCGTGCGGTTCTGGTAGCCACCCCCGCAGGGCACCGAGCACTCGGACCAGGGACCCCACTCTGCCCCCGCACCTGCGGAGAATGGGCACAGCTCAGGCATGCCGGGACCAGGCAGGTCCCACCACGCCTCTCGGGGTCTGCACCCAATGACCCCCATCACCCAGGACCCCCGGCCCCACGGACCCCCTGTACCCCCAGGCTGGAGCAGAGGGGTCTCCTTGACAGCTGCGCTGGCTCACGCACCCTTGCAGGGCTGCAGGCTGCAGAAGGCGACCTCCACGCTGGGGCCCGGGCATTCGCGGCCCCCAAAGGCGGCAGGCGGCTGGGAGGCAGCGCGGTACCGCCGCTGCGTGCCCACGTTGCAGCTACGGCTGCAGGAGCTCCACACCGTCCAGCTGCTCCAGCCACAGTCCACTGCGAGGGGGCAATGGTATTAGGGATCCACCTCTGGACTCCAGGCTTCCCCGGGGACCCCTGGGGACCCTGAGGGGCCAGACTACACCATGTGGCAGCTGGGACTGGACTGGACCCAGCACCCTAGCATTGCACCTCCCTGTCCCCACCCAGCCCTGAGCACCCTCCTTGGAGAGCTCCGTAGCCTGGCCAGGGCAGGACCAGGGCTGGAGGTTACCTGGACAAGGCTCTGTGCTGCACACCATTTCCCCAGAGATGCAGGTGCTGTGGAGGAGACAGAGCCGGTCAGCTGATCCCAGCAGCTGCAGAGGGCTGGGATCAGCCCCATGCTTCACAGCCATCAAAAAATGTCAACGACGCATCAGGGATGAGGAAGGAGGGAATTGTGAACGAGACAGAAAGGCTCACGATGCCCCTTTATCAACCCATGGCGCGTCCGTGCCTTGAATCCAACCCCAGCTGCGGTCCCTGGGCCACCAGCACCTACCAGTTGTTGCAGGCGTCGAGTGGGGCAGTGGTGCCGGGTGGGTAGAGCAAGCCCTGGTGGTGGCAGGGGCAGGCGGTGGGTGGCACACAGGTGTCGTTGAGCAGCCGGAGCCCGGCAGGGCAGTAGCAGCCGTCGTAGCAATGGGCGGCGCACTCCACGCCGACATCCTGGTCCAGGCAGAGCCGCGGGCAAGCGCCGCCGTGCTCTTGGCACTCCTTGGCCGTGTGGTACACCATGTTCCCCGGGCACAGCGCTGTGGGCAGGGGGGGCATGGGTGCCTGCTCCATCGTGCCCCAAGGGCCTGCCCCTCCCTAGGGCATCTCCCACCCACGGGGGTGAACGTCCCCTCTGCCCAGCCCCAGCCCTGTACCCTTGCAGGGCTGCGTGTTGCAGTCGCGGGTCTGGACCAGGGGCCCCGAGCACTCAGGCCCGCCATAGGCCGGGTTGGAGCAGGTCCGGTTGCGGATCTGGACACCGGAGTCGCAGGCGGCTGAGCAGGAGGACCAGGCCGTCCATGGGGTCCAGACGCCCTCCACTGCAGGGCAGAGCCGGCAGCATGAGGGGTGAGAGGTTGGAAGGTCCCCAGTCTCCCCAGGGTTGGGGTGAAGGGGGCAGGATGGAGCCAGGACCCCCCAGCCAGGATGGAGTGCCACTACCTAGGAGCACATCCCATCCTTGGGGCCACGCTGCCACCCCAGAGACCCCTGCCATCCTCCCCAGCATGGGGTCCCCTGAGTCTTGGTGCCCTCCTGCCCCAGCTGGCGGCACTCACCGGGGCAGGGCGGCGTGTCACATGGCTCCTCCTGCACGGATGGCCCCTGGCAGCTGCTCCCTGCGCTGAGCTCCCCAGTGCCGTTGCAGTGGCGGAAACGCTTCCGCACCCCGACTCGGTCCACATCGTAGAAGCAGGTCTTGGAGCAGGGCGACCACGGGGTCCAGGCGCTCCAGGGCCCGGGCGGCTCTGGGAGGATCATGAGGGAGGGAGAGGCTCAGTGCTGGTGCCAGGGGACGTGGCTGCACCATGCAAGGAAAGGGGTGGGAGGCAACAGGCCCCCTAGGACAGGTTGGGGGGAAGGTGCTGGGGGCTGCATGCCCTGCACCGGGAACTGCACTGAAGCAGGGCCACCTGGACTCCTGGGTCCTCCCTGGATGCGCTATCACTCCCACTGCAGACAGCTGCCCCGGTGTCACCCCCTCACCCCAGCTGGCATGCAGCCCTCAGCAACACATACGTACCGGCGGGGCAGGGTGTGTGGCACTCCCGCACCTCCTGGGCGTCCCCATCGCAGGGGGCCCCGCCGTTGGCTGCAGCGGGGTTGGAGGGTGACCTGTGGGGGGGAGGAGGTCAGTAGCACCCTCCTGCTGACCCTGCTCCTCTCCTCCACCCTGGGGGGCAGTGGGACGTGGGGGCAGCTCCCAGCTCCCTGCTGCCAGCACGGCTCCATCTCTTCCCTAGGGTTCCCTGAGCCAGGGAGAGCCAGCGCCTGATGTCCTGGGGGAGGGGATGCTTGCTCTGCCCCCCACCCACCGCGAAGGTCCCCAGGGCCAGGAGCTGCATCTCCCGGGCATACCTGAACCTCTCCTGCATGCCGACGCCGCAGCTGCGGTCGCAGGGTGTCCAGGCCGACCAGGCCGACCAGCCGCAGGGCACGGGGCAGGGCACGGAGTCGCACGTCACCACGCCATCCAGGCACACGCTGCAGAGGACACGGATGGGGTTAGCAGGAGGAGGGTCTGATGAGGGCAAGGGCAACCTGGGTCAGGGGTCAGAGCAAAGCGGGGTTTTGGCAGTGGCATGGGGCAGGTGGGGGCATGGGATCACGCCTGCCCTGGGCAGCACCAGCCCAGATATAGGTTTGTCTGACCCAGATAAGCAATAGCTCTGTGCACAGCCACCAGACACCCAGCAATAGCAATAGCTCATTGCCTAGACACCCAGAGCCCCCAAACTTGCCCCACGTGAAGCTGGGAAATGAGGCCTGGCAGTGAGTGGGCAGGGGCTGGCAGGATGCAGTGCAGGCATGTGCAGTGTGCAGTGTGGCAGGGGGCATCATGGCAGGAGGCAATGTGCAGTAGGGCAGTGGGGCAGGGGACAGTGTCAGCAGGGTACAATGCACAGGGTGCCGTGTGGCCGGGTGCTCTGCAGATACGTTGCAGTGTGCAGTAAAGGCAGGATGCAGTGGGGCAAGGTGCAATGGGCAGTGGGGCTGAGTGCAGTGCCAATAGGTTGCAGTGTGCAGTAGGGCAATGTGCAGTGTGATTGGGTGACAGTGCCAGCAGGGTACAATGCACAGCGTGCAGCGGAGCTGGGGGCATCACGCATTGTGGGCAGTATGCACCAGGCAGCATGCAGTGCAGCCCATGTGCAGTAGGGCCAGGTGCAGTAGGCAGGGGACAATGCGCAGGGTGCAGTGGGGCCAGGTGCAGTACTGCAGTGTGCAGTAGGGCAGGATACAGTGGGCAGGAGCCGAGCACTGCAGTGTCTCACCACTGGCTGCAGTTGTCACGCAGAAACATCTCCCCGGGACGGCGCGGCTCGGGGCCCACGTGGCAATGGCACTGGCTGACATTCACACAGCCGCCATCCTGCAGGAAGAGCCCGGGGGGGCACCGGCAGCCTGCCAATACCCACGAGACGCAGTGAGCGCCCACCCGCCAGGCCCGGCGCAGCAGGGGTCGGCTCCTGCAGGTGCAGGCACGGGAAAGCCCCCCAGACACCAGAGCCACGGCATGAACGTGGGGGGCTGGTGCCACGCAGGGCACCTCCAGCATAGCCTGTGCCCAGGGGGACCCCAGTGACGCCCCCATGTCTGCTCCCACCAAGGGGGAGGGAGAGGATGCATTGAACAGCTGGGGGACACCTGGGTTCTTGCTCCCCCAAACAACCCAGCCTGGCCCGCGGACCCCCAGCGCTGCTCACCCTCCACGCAGGGGCTCTGGCAGCTCCTCTGGGCACCCAGGTCGCGGCAGGCCTGGGGGCACGGCGCCACAAGGCCCCTCTCGCAGTCTGCAGCCTGCACGTACACCATCTCAGGGCCGCAGTCTGTGGGCAGAAGTGGGACCGGGGGCAGGTGAGGCGGAGACACCCTAGCTGTGCCCCCTTGCCACTCCCCACCTGCAGCCCTGGCCCCCAGTCACCCCTACAGCCCTCTCCTCCTGGCACTTAGCACCCCTGCCCAGTGCCCCCAGTCCCATCCCCATCCATCCCCTGCCCTACCCCAGTCACACCCATGCCGACTCCCCACAGCATCCCCCACTTGCCCCCAGGACCCCAACGCTTTCCCCTGGGGCTCTCACCGCGGGCATCCCCGCAGGGCTGCAGGTTGCAGGGCTCCGTCTGCACAGCGTCGCCGGGGCAAGCCTGGCCCCCGTTCTTGGGCGGGGGGTCGGCGCAGCTCCGCGTGCGGCTCCGCACCCCGCCCCGGCACTCGGCGTCGCAGTCCGACCACTCACCCCACGCGGCCCAGGCGCCGTGCACTGGAAACCCCCCCGGGAGAGAGGCACCATGGGGCCGGCGGCTGGGGATCAGCTTCCCATGCCCCCAGCCCTGACCACCAGGCTGGTCTGGCCCCTGTGATGCACTCCCCACTGATCCAGCTGTGACCCATTCCCCAGGGAGACTCCCCAGACATCATGCCTCCCCCAAAGCCCCCATAGCTGGGACACTGCAGGGGAAGTCCCTGGCTGGACCGGGCCAGGCGGTATCAGGGAGGTGGGTTGCAGGATGCCAGAGGGGGGAACCTGGGCAGGCGCGGAGGAAGCAGGAGCGACTGTCGAACTCGTTGCGCTCGCACTGCCCGCCGGGCAAGGCATGGCGCAGCAGGTCCCGGCGCCGGAAGGTCACCCCCAGCCCGCACGACCGGCTGGACTCGCTCCAGCCGCTCCAGGGAGACAGGATGCAGTCAACTGGGTTAGGGGAGAGAGATGGGGGGGGGGTGTCAGGCAGGACGTCCCCCCGGAGAGGCAGGAGCGGGCAGGGCTACCAGCTCCACCCCGGAGCCGCCCGTACCGCAGCTGCTCTCGTCGGAGCCGTCGGCGCAGTCGTGGTGCAGGTCACAGCGCTTGTCAGGGGACAGGCACTCCCCACTGCCGCACAGGAACTGCTTGGGGGAGCAGGCGCCGGGGCGCCTGTCGGGCACCGGCAGGGTGGCGGGGGGCACTGTGAAGGGCGCTGGGCCACCTGCAAAGGGAGAGAGGGTCAATACTGGCATGGGGGCCCCGACAACCACTCTGCACCCCTGGCGAGAGGAAAGGGGGCCTGCGAGCAGATGGCAGCATGGTGTGCAGACCCCCCCTGGACTCACCGCATTGCCACTCATCAGAGCCGTCCAGGCAGTCCTCGCGCCCGTCGCACACGGCGCCCGCCTCCACGCAGCCCAGCACCTCGCAGGAGAACTGGCCCTGGGTGCACAGGAGCCGGGGCAGCGAAGGCCCTGCCAGGGTGGGGGACACGTGGCACCGGGTCATTGCAGAAAACCCTGGGGGCTGGGGTCTCTAGGCAGCCGCCCCTCTCCCCCCTTGCCTACCCCTGGACCCCTAGGCATGTGCCTGCTCCTCTGGCCCCATGCAAGGGGACAGCATCGCTCAGCTGCCGATGACCCCAAGACAGCGGCCACGGGTGCAAGGGGGGCAGTCGGCACTGCAGGCCTTTTCAGACAGGGGGGCTTTGAGGGGCAGTGGTGGGGACCCCCCGGCCTTTGCCAGCTCTGCCCCCAGACTGGGTGCTAATCCAAACCCCTGCTTACCTGGGAGGGTGGTGGCCAGCCCAGGCCAGCCCGGGACGGAGGATCCCGTGAGCATCCCAGGCATCCCGCGGTCTCCAGCTGACACCGTCACAGCAGCCATGGCTGGCGGGGTGGTTCCCGGCAGGCGCGGTGTCCCAGGAGAGGTCACCTGTGCCCAGGGCAGCCCGGGGGTCCCCGGAGCCCCTGTGGTGGGCATGGGGGTGCTTAGCCCGGGCACGACTGCTCTGGGGGGCTCCGTCACACCAGGGCTGATGCTGGCAAGCGCGGGGGCTCCAGTGTGCTCGGGCTTCTCCCGCAGCCCCGGCGTCCCGGCTGGTGTCCCCGGCGAGGGGCTCTGGATGGCTGCGGCAGGGACCGTCGTCTCCAGTGGCTCTGCTGTGGGCCCAGCACAGGATGTCCTTCAGCCACGGGTGGCTAGAGATCCCCGCCTGACCCCCCAGCACCTGGTCTCAGAGACCGGAGCGCGTGGATGGGAGAGCACGAGTCCGAGCTCCCCACCAGGCTCCCATGCTAATGCCCCTGACTGCATCCTCCAAAACAGCCCTTCCGGTGCCCTGCTCCTGCCACCACTCACCTCCCGTGGGCACCGGCTTGCTCGTGGACTTGGCCTCACTGCTCTCGTTGGCTACGCTGGGCATCCTAGCTGGAGTCCCCGGGGGTGCTGGGGGTGGCTCTGAGGCAGCAGGGGGGCTGGCAGGTCCGGTCCCCGGGGGAGCAGCACCTGCAAGGGGAAGAAGGAGGATGGGATCAGGCAGCCAGTCCCAGTGCTGGGTCACCCAGGCTCCCGTCCTGCCGGCTGCACCCATGTCTCAGGCCTGCAAGCTGGTCCCTGCTTCCCTGCACCAAACCCTGACCTGACCCTGCCTGCGTGCAGAGTCCCAGCCTGCCCTGCCCCGGGAGCACCACTTACCCCAGAGGCAGCCCTGCAGCTCCAGGCGCAGGTAGATGCCACGGTGAAATGCCACGGGCACCAGGCGCAGGGAGCGGGTCAGGATGGCCGGGCTCAGCTCCTGCCGCACAGGTGTGCTGCTGTCCACATTGCCCTCCAGCACCTAGGAATGGGGCAGGGGTTAGGGTTAGGGTTGCCCTGGAGCTGGAGCAGAGGTTAGGGGAGACATTGCCCTGATTAGGAGGGGGCTATGTGGGGCTGGCTTTTGGGGTGAGGAGGGACAGGATCGGGGCCCAGCAGGAGGAGAGGATCGGGGCCCAAGAATCACATCAAAGGTCTCGTGGAGGAGGGCGAGGGCCATCTATTGGGTACTGGGTGACTGGGCTGCGGGAGAGGTGAGGGTACCTGTGCCGGGCCGCCGCGGGGGGCGTAGTCACGGTAGTGCACGCCGTCATAGCTGTAGGCCAGGCGGTAGCGGGTGATGAACCCCCCCGAGCGTGTCCCGCCCTGCGTGACCACGGCGCTCACGAAGGTGGGCTGCAGCAGGTCCACCTGGAAGTAGGGGCTGGAGTCGTCCGGCAGCGGGCTCCAGCCCACCTCGATGTTCGGCCTGGAGGGAAGCGAGTGCTCGGGGACCCCCTGTCTGCAGCCAGTCCCCACATGGGGCTGGCACAGACCCCCTGGGAGCCCCCAGCCCCATGGCAGGGGTGTCACGTCTGCTCCCCTGGGCATTGCCCCCCACCCCTCTGGGACCAGGCTGGGTGCTGCATGGGCGCCCCAGCCCTTCTGGCTCTCCTGTAGCCCTGCCCTGAACCGGCCCCGCTCTCCACCCCAGAGGAGGTGACCGGGGCTTTTGCGGGGCCGTGCCCCTGGCCAGTCACCCCATTGCAGCCCGTGGAGGGGTGGAGGTAAGAGGCATACACATTGGGCATGCTGTTGAGACGCCCAGCGCCTGGGGGGTTGCTTTCCCGGTGGGAGGAGGCGCTCAGCTGCTGGTCCCGGATCCGGCCGCTGTCCAGCCCCAGCGGCTCGGTGCAAGGACCTGCAGGGACATGGGGCGGCTCAGGCCAGGCCTGGGGCCCTTCATGTCCCTCATCGCCTCCCCATCAGAGCCTGTCCCCCCGCTGCCTCTGCCCTCCAGCTGTGAGAGCCGGTGGGTGGCCCAGGTGCGCCGTACCTGCGGGGGTGGGCAGGATGCCGTCGGGGAACGGCCAGCCGTCGGTCCACACCAGCGCCTGGAGGGGAGGAAGAGCAGAGTCACTGACCGGCCATCGGCTGCACCGTGCCCGTCCGGCAGCCTGTCCTGCCTGGCACCGCTCTGAGAGCCAAAGGTGCTGGATCCAGAGGACACCCGGTCATCTCCAAGCTGACGGACAGAGTCTGAGCCCCCACTTCCCTCCCACCCGCCACCCTGCACCCCCACAGCCTCTCCATCACCCCGAGCTCCTCTCCTCCAGCCCCTCCACCGGGGTCCCCCTCTCTGCGCCGGCACAGCGGGGTCCCGTCTACAACAGGGCAGTGGCACAGCTCTCCTTCCTGCTGGCTCCGGGGTCACTCACCTCCTTGGGCGTGCTCCAGACACGGGGTGTCCCGGGGGTGGAGGGGCTGCGGGGAGCGGAGCACAGGGGTTAATACAGGGGTGCACCAGAAAGCCGGCTCCCCAGGGGTACGGCCCCCCAGTTGGACCCAGGGGGACCTCCGGGGCCCACATCTCACAGAGCCCAGCACCCGGCAGAGTGAGCAAGAGGCAGCAATGGGTGCAAGCATCTAGGGTTAGGCCAAGCCTGGGAACATGCCCTAATCTGGAACTGGCTGAACCTCATGAGATCTCCATGGCCTCCTGCACCCCAAATGCTGCACCAAATGGGCTGGGGAACCACCACGCTGCACCCCACTCCCTACAATGCCAATGCCCCCCTGCTGTGGGTGCCCGGTACCTCGTCGTGCCTGCAGGAGGCGCTGTGCTCCCACGCAGGGCGACGCAGCCAGCCTCGTCCGTGCCGTCCAGGCAGTCGGCAATGCCGTCGCACCTCCGGGCCGCGTCCACGCAGCCACCGGTCCCCGTGCAGGGGAAGTGGGACAGCGGGCACGGCCAAGGGGTTGAGGGCGCCAGCGATGGGGCAGTCCCTGCGGGGCAAAGAGGAGGGCACGGTTGAGGTGTGGGGCAGAGATGGCTCATGCTGGCAACACTGGGCTCAGGATCGAGTTGGAGGGGAAGGGGGCAAAGCAGGTGCCACCAACCACCCCTGCTTTCTTTGCGTGGCAACACCCGGGATCACAGAGCCATGGAGCTGGCAGGGAGCCCTGCCTGAACCAGCCCAGACAAACCCCATGCGCTGCATGACACAGCCCCAGGCATCGCCCCCACCCCTGCCCCCGGAAAGCAGCGGGGCCACAGCACCGATGTCCTGCTTCTATTAAAGATTGCAAATAGATGCTGCAGAGCCCCGAGACCCCCCCGGACCCGCTCACCGCAGCGCAGCTCGTCTGAGAGGTCTCCGCAGTCATCGACCCCGTTGCAGACAGCACCGCGGGGTCCGGCGGGGACGCAGCGCCCGTTGCGGCACTGGAACTGGCCGGTGCGGCAGGGCCGGTGGGCAGGCAGCATGCTGGGGGCTCCAGGCAGCGCGGGGGGCACTGGGGCAGAGAAGGGAGAAGGGTGGGGGTCCGAGGGGAGAGGCTGTGGCTGAGCAGCCTCCCCTCGCAGTGCCGAGGTAACGGGCCCTCTGCGGCTGTCCTGGGATGGTCAAGGGACGGCTCATTTTAGCATTGCCAAGCACCCCAGGGCAAGCGCGCCGGCCAAGCAGGGTACCTCTCTCGCAGCCCAGCAGCTCAGCGCGCAGGAAGATGCCATTGTGGAAGTCCTGGGGCAGGATGCGGACGTGCCGGGCCCGCACCAGGCGCTGGAAAGTTCGCACCACGGGGGTTGCATCATCAAAGTTGCCCTGGAAGAGCTGCCAAAAGCAGTGCTAGATTATGACGTGCTCAGGCCCTAAACTATGTCCAGTTTAAGAGGTCCCATCTAATAAAAATAATCCATGAAATCCACGAAAATGGATTTTCTTGACATATTAAGATGAATTATTGTTATTTCTGCACAAATTTATGAACTCAATAGGAATAATAACGGTGGAGCCATATATATGTATATTTTTGTCATATTAGAATGAAAACGTCCAGGGGGGGTTTCTTATTTAGAGGCCCCTCGTATTGTGAGGCCCTAAACTGTCGCTTAAGTAGTTTAAGACTAAATCCAGCACTGGCCAGGAGGGTGCCAGGGCAGTTCAGCACCGTGCGGCACATGTGTACGTGCATGCATGCAAACACCCATGCGCATGTGTGAAAACACACACATATCCAAATGTGCACAAATGCAAACACGTGTGCAAATGCACACATGGGTGCAAACACACACAAGCATGCATGCATACACACCCGTGTACAGACACTAGGACACGCGTTTAACCACATGTGCAAATGTACATAGGCAAACATAGAAGCATGCACATACACACGCAAGCGCACACACATGCAAGCATACGTGAACTCATGTACATAAACACACATGCGCGCATCCTCCCATACACGTGTGTGTACACATGCCCACATGCTGTGCTGATTCAGGGAGTCCCTCTCTACACGTGTGGGCTCTGGTCAGGGTTACAGGACTGCGGTAGCATGGACGTCTCCATGCAGGGGACCCGGGCTGCGGTGGGACTCTACCGTGTGGGGTGGATGCACCAGGGCCCCTGGTTGCTGACGTGTCATGCACATACCTTGGGCTCCAGCTGCGCATCTGGGAAGGCCTCGCGGTAGTCATGCCATCTCACCCCGTCCATGCTAAATTGCAGAAGGAAGCTGGTGACGTAGGCATCCGAGGAGCCTGCGCCCTGCACCACCACCCCTGGGAGAGAAGAGCAGAGCAAAGCAGAGATCAGGCAGCGCCACGGGGCTCCCTCTGCCCCCCACCCGTGGGGCGCTGCCCTGCCTGGGAGACTGTCCACACATGCTGGGTCCCTCTGGCTTCCTCATGTGTCCACCCTGCTGTGCAGAGACCCCCGTCCTAACCCTGGGGGCAGCATGAGCAGAGGCCGCCGGGTCTGGGATGCAGGGGTGGCCCTTGGGGCAGCCGGATCTCAGCCCCAGAGGGTACCTGGCACCATGCACAGGAGATCCAGGCACCATCCCACCAGCCCTGCCCTGGGGGTGTGGGTGCCCTGCAAACTGCGTAGGACCAGGCACCTACCAGTGAGGTTCTTGGGCTCCAGAAGGTCCACCTGCAAGTAAGGGGGGTTGGAGAGGAGCTCGGGGTACACGTCCGCTTGGGGCCCCCAGCCCTGCAGGTCCAGCCCCGGCAGCACCCGGTTGAGGCGCGCAGCATGCGCGGGGTTCTCAGGCTGCTGGGACGAGGCGGAGAAGCTGCTGTCCGGCAAGGAGGCCAGGCCCAGGGGGCCATAGCAGCGGTCTGCCAGGGAGAAGAGGGTCAGGGGGGCTCTGAGGCAAGCCAGGGGTGCAGCAGGCTGGGGGGAGGGAGCCGGCACTGCCGCCGATGTTGGACAGAGCCCTGCAATCAGAGCAGCTGCCTCCCTGCCCCTCACCACGCACCCCACATGCACACACTCATAATACATATATACACATACACTCATGCAGACACACACACATACATGGGCACAAACACATGCCCACAACACACACATGTGCCTACAAACACAGATACACACATGTGCAAATACAGCCCCCCCAGACACACACATGCCTACACAAATATACATGCCTGCATATATATGACCCCACACACACATGTGCACATACATATCTACATATACAGATGCACACACATGCTGACCCACACACATGCACATACACATACATGCTGACACACCCACCCACCCACACATGCACACACACGATACATGCCTGTTGCATGCACACACACACCCACACACACAGTGTTTCATCACTCTCATCCTCTTGCAGCACCTCCCCGCGTGGCTGGGATGGGCCCCGCCAAGGCTCTCAGGGATGCTGGGCTGTGCTGACCTCCAGCTGAGGCCACAATTGCACTCTCCCTGGACCTGCGGCCCACAGACAACCAAAGACACTGACCACATCCCTTCTGCCTGCCTGTCCGGGGCTACCCGTCCTATTCCCGGGGCTGTAAGCTCCCTGGGGCAGAGACCCCTTGCATGCAGGGCCCGGTGCCGCCCCAGAGGCAGCCACAGGAGAGACCCCAGCCGATGCAGACCGTGCCACCCGACACTGCGCAAGTCCCTGCGGCAGGGAAGGTCCCAGGGCTCACCTCCGAGAGGCGGCAGTGGGAAGGTGAAGAGAGGCGGGCTGGTGGGGGCACTGGGGCCGGCCACGCTGGTCTCCGGGGGCTCGGCTGTCGGCACGGCCAGCGTTGTGGTCCTGTTCTCACCTGGGCCAGGAGAGAGGCCCCCGGAGAAGGCAGGTGAGGGGTGGTTCTGCCTTGCTCTTTGCACCAGGGAGGGGGTGGGATGGGGACGGGACTGGGATGCTCCCACAGGCAAGGGATGGGGACAGCCCTTCAGCATGGAGGGCACTGGCCCCCTGCCCTCCTTTACCCCAGACCCCCAAAGAGCCCCGGAGCAGGGCTACGGACCCCAGACCCCCTCCCCAGCCCAGGACTCACCAGCCTCCGTGCAGTAGCAGCAGGCCTCCCCCGTGCCCTCCACCAGCACCCGGCCCTGCCAAAGAGAGAGAGCTGCTGGCACCCCAGAGACGCCGGGTAGGGCCAGGGACCAAACCCAGGTGTCCTGAGCCAGGTCCTGGCTCTGCGGGTGCCAGGTCTACCTGCCCTGCAGGCAGCGTCCAACCGGAGCATGAAAGGGACTAAGAGTGGATGCCCCAGGCCTGAGAGGAGCTGATGCAGCATGGGAGGGTCACACAGCCCCTCTGAGCCCTCCTGGTAACCCCGCTCACCTCGGGGCAGGCCACGGTGCTGTAGGGGCAGTACTGGGAGCACTGCACTGTCAGGTTGGGCAGGCACTGGCACACCTGGCACTGCCCCGAGCGCCAGCGGTCGCCAACGGCGTGGGGTCGCCCATGATGCTCACACTCCTCGCATGGCTCCGTCTGGCACCTGTGCATGGAGGGCGCGCCGTGAGGGCAGGCACCTTTGGGTCTGGAGGACAGTCACTGCCCCCCTGACACCGACTGCAGCCCAGCCCCAGGTCCACTCCCCTAGCCCAACCCACTGAAGCAGAGAGGGGCTGCAGACACGATGTTAAGACCCCGCCTGCAGAGACCCTGGTGCTCTTGGCGAATACATGGCTTTGCCGGGAGAAGCGTGGCCCACCCCCGCCACGGCCCAGCCCGTGCGGCATCACCTGCGGGCCTTGCGATAGATGCCGCGGCACTGGCGCCCATTGCCGTGCTTGCTGGGGTTGTTGGGGCTGCGGAAGGACCACTGGATGCTCTGCACGCCGCATGGCCCCAGACACTCGCCCCATGGTGACCAGGCCGACCAGCCGCAGTTCACTAGGGCCGGAGAGACAGGTGAGAGAGGCCCGTCCCCTGCCGCCCGTCCCCTGCCGCCCCTCGCTGCGCCTACCTGTGCACTCGGGGTTCTGGCGGCAGCGCCGGGGCTGCCCGTCCTGGCAGGTGCAGATGCGGCAGTTGACCTTGACCAGCTGCCCGGGCCAGTAGCGCACACCCTCCACCTCGCAGGGGCACTCCCGCGGCCGCACGCACCGCCGCTCCCCGGCCAGCACCAACCCATCCGGGCACCAACAGCCTGCGGGGGACCCGGAGGGGTCATGCACTGTCTGCCCTGGGAACCACCCCGCTGCAGCTGCAGCCTCCCACCCATGCAGTGTCCCGCAGGTCACAGAACAGCACAGACCCATGGGGGAGCAGCAGGGGATGGCACCCCGACAAATGCAGGGTGCTTGGAGCATCCTTGCCCCTGGATGCTCCTCCCCAATGCAAGGAGCATGCTAGAGGTCTTGTCCTAAGTGCCTCCACCTTGCAGACACCTTCCACCACAGTCAGGCTGGGGACAGGCCAGCAAGGCCACACGGCAGGCTTTCGCTGATGCCAAGAGGAAAGCATCAAGTCTGGCGCTTGACTAGTCGCATGCAGCCCATCCTCCCAGGTATGGGTGTTTCTGCATGGCCACAGCCTGATCTGCATGCTCGTGATGCTCGTGTTCAGCTTTCCAGTTAAGCTATGCTCTTGAGAAGAGCCAGGCATGTGCTCTTGATTCCAGGTCCCTGACTCCACTAGCCCCCTTTGCCCCCAGCTGGGCACAGAGGACTTCCCTTCACCCAGGAGGAGGTCTTCTGGGGGGACGGCCCTGCTCCCCTGGCCCCGGCGTGTCCATACCTGGGCTGCAGGGCCGGTCTCTGCGGCACTTCACCTTGCTGGACAGGTCAGTGCAGGAAGCGGGGCAGGGCGCGCACCTGCGGCTCACGAGGTCCCCGGGGCAGGCGGTGACATTGAGGCAGCCCTCCAGCTGGCAGGGCTCTGCAGAGATGGTGAAAAGGGGTTACCTAGCTGGGGGGCTTCCCCATGGAGCCTGGGAACAGGCTGCAGCACCGCAGGCCACAGGAGGGTGTAGCGATGCCCAGCCAGCATTGCCAGGGGACCAGCAAAGGCCCTGCACCCGGTGCCAGTCAGCTGGCTCCCCCCTTGACCTGAGCTGCAGGAGGGGGTCCTTGCTTTGGCCCCAGGGACTCACGGATCTCCAGGGTGCTGGGCGAGTCCCCGGGCAGTTCGATGCATGGCCGGCCCCCGTTCTGGGGAGGCACACACTCCCGGCGTCGCACCACCACCCCGCGGCAGTCCTGGGTGCAGTTGGACCATGTTGCCCACTCGCTCCAGGCTCCGTCCACTGTGGGAAAACAAATGGCATGAGTTCTCCTGGCCCCGGGATCCCCTCCTGCCTGCTGCAGAGGGCTGCCATGATGCCCCTTGCTCCCCATCACCTCCCTTAGCTGACACAGGGGCAGGCACAAGTCCTCCCTTGCTTCTACAGTCCCATGGATCCTGTGCACACCCAGCTGTGCTCACCCTGGACCCAATGCAACCCCCACCCTGTGAGGGCTGGCACCCGCTCTGCCCAGCCAGGACACACCAGGGCAGGCCACGGCAAAGCACTGCTGGGCCTGCGTCTCCTCGCCGTGGCAGTGGCGCAACACGTGGTCAGCCCGGCGGGTGCAGACGCGGCGACGGACTTGCAGCCCCGTCCCGCAGGACCGGCTGCAGCTGCTCCACGGTGCCCAGGCACTCCAGAGCCCGCAGTCCTGCTCGTCCGAGGGCAGCCAGCCCGAGGTCGCACTGCCATCCGTGCAGTCCGCCAGCCCGTTGCACACCTGTGGGGGAGGCGGGTGAGCCCATGGTGCAGACCAGAGGGGCAGAGGAGTAAAATCGGAGCACTTCCTGGAGCTGAGGATACTGCCCTGGGCACGGTGGAAGTGATGGGGACCCCAGGGCACCACTAGCAAGGGACTCACCTGCTCTGGGCCATTAACCCCATGGTCCTTGCTCCTGGCTCGCTGCTGGAGGGGCAGTGCAGTGCAGGGGTGGAGTTGGGCCGTGGTGGGGATCGAGGGAACAATGCGCCCAGTGCCCACCTGGCTGGGGTCCCAGCCTCTGCCCTGGCCATACCTGCTTGAAGGTGATGCACTTGCTGTCGCCGCAGGAGTACTCGGCACAGGGGCCCACGGTCCGGTTCTGGTCAGCTGGCAGGACACGGCTCTCTGCAGACAGAAGGAGGGAGGGAGATGCCAACTGCCCAGATGCTCCCCACCTGCACCCTGTGTCGAACGGCTAGGTCAGGGCATAAGGGCAGGGCAGGGAGCCAGTAGAGGAGCTCACTGCAGCCCAGCTCCAGCACTCTCCAGTCGCAGAAAGGCTGGATTGGAGGGGACCCAAGGAGTCGTCTGGGTTGACCCCCAGCCCTGAGGCAGGAGGAGTAACCCTAGAGTGCCCCTGAGAGAGGCCTGGCCTGTTCTCAGCCTGGAGCAGGCTGGGTGTCCCACTGCCCTATGCACAGGAGGCTTGTCCTAACCTCCCATCTAGGTCATCTGTGCCACAGGTAAAACCGATTCCTTCTCTTGTCCCACGGACATGGCAATAACTGATGGTTCTCTCTATGGGAAGCTGCTAGCACACCGTCTTCAGCCTAGCAAGGCCTGCTCCTCCATCCCTCCTCCGTGAGCCCTGCTTTCTACACCATTCTTTCTCCCTGCTGCTCCTCTCTGTTTGTCTAGGGGTGAAGTTATACCTTACGCCTAGACCACGCTCAGTTAAGATGTGAGCATCCGTTAAGCTCATTAACGTGTGCTCAGCACCCTTCAAGCATCCCAAAGCACCGCTGCTTCAGGCAAGGGTGAACTCTGACCGCAATACCCAGCTCGAGTTAGGGTAACTTCAGTCTGTTCCATGGAGAAAGAATGAGCAATCTGCAGTCCTCCAGCATCCCAGCAGGCACTGCTCCCATCAGCCCTTTCCCCAAAGCAGGCATAGAGTCCAGGTGTCCTGCCTCCTAGCCACATTGTTGTTTCCCAGCCCTTTGCACGTGCAAGAACTGGGAAGTCTCAGCCCCCCACTGCCGGGGCTGCAGCACAGCCAGGGTCTCCTTACCACAGGCGATCTCGTCCTCGCCCTGGGGGCAGTCCGGGGTACCATCGCACACCCTGGAGACATTCACACACAGGCGGTTGTTGCAGACGAAAAGCCCTGGGCATGGCGGGATCTGCGTGGACCCTGCCCCAGGAAAGAAGGGATGTCAATGCTGGCCCAAAGAGGGAGGGTCAGTGCCACCCGACTGGAGGCAAATACGTGCTGTGTTTGATGTGATGAGGCACCGCATCCTTGATCTGGATCTGCCCCTGCTCACCGCAGTTGTCAGTGCTCTCATCAGACTGGTCGCGGCACTGGGGGAGGCCATCGCAGAGCTGCCCATAGGGGATGCACTCAGCGCTGAGCATGCAGGGGAACTGATCCAGCCCGCAGGTCCTGTTGCAGTCCAGTTCATCGCTGCCATCCAGGCAGTCAGCCTCATTGTCGCACATCCAGCCACGCGGCTGGCACTCCCCGCTGCGGCACTGGAACTCGTAGCGGCTGCAGGGGGGCGCTGCGGGGATGGGGTAAAGGGAGCCCATCAGCCCCATGCTCTCCCAACCTCCCCTGGGAGAGATGCCTGGAGAGGGCCCAGCAGCACCCTCCTTGAGCAGCTGTGCAACAGCCGTGGGGGCTATGGGGCAGGAGCACGGGCTGGGGGGAGGTTCGCAGCTGCTCCAGACCCAGGTGGGGGTGTGATGGTGGCAGGGGGCAGGGAAGGCACAGCTTGTCTGGGCACAAATGGTCAAAGGGTACCTGCTGCGCCCTGGCCACTCACCCAAGGTGCGGTTGGTCGGTAGGGGGCGTGTCACTGGCAGCACCATGGGCACGGTGATGGCTGTGGGGCTGGGCAGCACTGCCAGGCACTGCGTGGGACTCTCGTCTGAGCCATCCCAGCAGTCCCGTGTGCCGTCACACACCTTCACCCTGCTGATGCATGTGCCATCGGGGCAGGGCAGCTGCCCGGGGGCGCAGGTCACCTGGCCTGTATAGACAGAGAATGCAGAGGGGACCAAATCCAACAGCCCCCTTGGCCATCCCCCAGCCCCCACGCTCCCTGCTGTGGGGTTCACCAAGCCATCTTAGCTGGAGCATGGCCAGGCCCACCACAAGGATGGGGGTGGCCAGCTTGGCTGGGGTGTGGCCAGGCCTACTGTGCCCCCAGGTGGTGGGGTGAGGCCAGGCCCACCATTATGAATGGACCCAGAGGGACAGCCATATTGACTGGGGTGTGGCCAGGCCACCCTGATGGATGGCCCTAGAGGGGTAGCCATCGTGGCTGGGGTGCAGCCACATCTATCATGATGGATGGTCCCAGGAGGGAGGCCATCTTGACTGGGGTGTGGCCACATCTATCATGATGAATGGCCCTAGAGGGGCGGCCATCTTGGCTGGGGTGTGGCCACATCTACCATGATGGATGGTCCCAGGAGTGTGGCCATCTTGGCAGGGGTGTCACCAAGCCCACCCTGATGGATGGCCCTAGAGGGGCAGCCATCTTGGCTAGCTTGAGGGTTGTTGACCACAGGGTAGTGGGGGCTGGCAGCCTCACCTGGGCAGAAGGCCTCATCAGCGCCGGCCAGACAGTCACTCCTTCCGTCACACACCTGCTGCTGTGGCAAGCACAGCGCATCCGGGCACTGGAAGTGGCCAGCAGGGCACACACACTCCCGCTCATCACTCAAGTCCCCACAGTCATCGTGCCCATCGCACCGGTGCAAGTATGGCACGCACCGGCCTGCCGCGCACCGGAACTCCGCCGTGCCGCAGGGTGGGCCGCAACCTGCAGGGACAGCTGGCGTGAGACCTCTCAGTGAGGCACTGCCCGCAGGATCTCCACAGAGGATGGCAGCAATTACGCCATCATCCCCATCACTGCCAGGGTGTTGCCTCTTCCCTGCCCCAACTCTGGGCCCTCGTGTGCAGGGCCGGCACCTTGCTAGCCAGGCCAGCACCCCTGGATGGCCCCAGGAGCCCCACGACAGCCAGCCCGGGACTCGCCTGCCTCGTCGGATGTGTCGGCAAAGCCACAGTCAAGCTCGCCATCGCAGACATGGGCACGGGGGATGCAGCGCCCGTTGGCGCAGTGGAACTCGTGCTGGCCACACCCGGGCGGGGGGCAGCCCTGCTCGTCCGAGAGGTCCAGGCAGTCAGCAGTGCCATCGCAACGGTAGCCCCAGGGCACGCACTGCCCGCTGATGCACTGATACTGGTGCGGGGCGCAGCTCAGGGTGCAGAACTCATCCGAGCCGTCCCCGCAGTCATCCTCGTTGTCGCACACCCAGGCACCTGGCACGCAGCGCCCACCCCCACGGCAGGCGAACTCTGTCTCGGGGCAACCAGGCCGGGCCGCGCAGGGCTCTGCCAGGGCCTCGCACTGCCACAGCCCTGCCTCGCACGTGCTGCGGTCAGGGAGAGAGGGCATCAGGCTTCACGGAGCCCGTCTGGACAAGGGAATAACTGATGGCATAGGGGCAACTGGGGGAGATTATCTGTATGGAGGGAGCAGGGGCTGGGGTGGGGGAGTGTTGATGGGGGTGTCCCAGAGGGCAGGGCTCAGACACTCCCAAAGCCCCAGAGCTGCAGGCCCATGGCAATACCGCAACGCACCCCTGCTGTGAGGGGAGAGGGGCCGGCAATGGGTACAGCCCCTCACTGGGGAGCTTAGGCCCCGACTCCCCCACTGCTCACCAGTTCTTACACTCCTGCTTCACCGCAGTGCCCGATGGGAACGAGGTGCCCTCCCAGTAGCAGGGGCACTCAGAGGGGTCGATGCAGCTCCCGCCTGCCAGGGTAAGAGAAGACCGCTTTTCGGCACCAGCCCTGGAGACTCTTCCCAGGTGTCACTGTCCACCCAGGTCCCACAGGTGCAGGGCTTAAAGGAGGAGGGGGTCACACTGAACTACCCCCCCATGGGGAAATGCAGCAGAGATGAGTGCCAAGTGCTCAGCTGGGGCGGGGAAATCCTGTGCATGGACAGACCCATGGGACAGCAGGAGAGGGCACGGGGCAGATGAAGCCGGAGACAGCGGGGTGATAGCAGCTGCAGAAGCAGAGCCCTCCCAGGGCTGCGTGAGAGCAAGGCGCTGTACATAGGATGCACGGGGCAATTGCTGTGCTCTCCCCAGTGTTGGGGAGGCCACTGTGGGGCTCTGCATCCCATGCTGTGCACCAGGCTTTTGCAGAGGCAGATGAACAGGAGAGAGACCGGAAGGAAGGGCCAGCAGAGAAGGGGATCGATGAGGAAAAGAGGAAGGAAGCGGGGTTCCTTTGGCCAGGGAGCAGAGGTCCATACCCTGGCCAGGCTCCGTCTCCCCACCCCACCACTCGGTGCCTAGTTAGGTCATGCCCTGGAGAGATGCGGGCACCTTACCATGCAGGACCTTGCCCTCAGGGCAGAAGCAGCCCTCCACGCAGGAGACAGCATCACAGTGCTCAGCCAACTCCAGCCCAAAGGTCTTGCAGGTCTGGGGGCAGGCGGGGCCGCAGGCCTCGTACTCCAGTCCGTTGTCACACTGCATAGCTGGGAGGCAAAAACGCGTGGGGCATGAGAGATGGGGCTAGAGACAGGGCTATGCATGAGGCACAGCCCCGCTGCCAGGCTAGTGAAGCCCGAAGGAGGCAAACTACGCCATCCTCTCCCCACCCCGCCTCACCGCTGTCACCCTATCCCCCTGGGCTTACGGCACAGGTCTTGGCTCCGCCAGCGGATGTAGACCCCACGTTGATTGCACTCCTCGGCGTAGGCCGCGATGGCCGTGCACAGGCACTCACAGTCGCCCCCGGAGTCGCACCTGCCGGCAGAGAGGGGCTGTCATCCAGGGCCAGTGATGGGGGGGTATGCAGCTCCCCCAACTAGGGAAACCCACAAGGGAGACCCCAGCCCCATCATCTGCGCACAGCAAGGATCCTGGCTGCTCACAGGCAGCTTGGCTGGGGCGTCCCCCGGCTACTGAGAAGCCGTTGCTTTCTAGTGCCCATCACCCTGGTATCTGGGCATTGCACCGCATGGTGCCTCCCCAGCAACCTCCCAGGGCAGGCTGAATATGGGAGTGTCATGCCCACCCCCAGGAGCCCCTGCGCCCTCCAGAGCCGGCCCCTGCCCTGCAAGACGTACCCGCAGGCGTCGAAGATGCACCAGTCGTAGAACTGCTGGCAGGGCACCTCCTCGTGGCAGGGGGTGAAGAGCATCTGCAGGAGGATGCTGCAGCGCTTCCGGGCCCACGTGGCGCGGTGCGAGTTCTCCTGGGAGCCGGGCACAGTGATGAGGAGCCCACGACCCGAACCAGGACCGGGCTCTCATATCCAGCCCCAGCCCCTAGCTCCCACCCCACCAGCCTGGCCTTGCCCATAAGACCATGAGAACTGGTATTCACTGGGTCAAACCCTAGGACCTTAGTTGCCCTGTTTCCTGCGTCGTACCAGGAGGCGGAAGGGAGAGTGGCCGGGTCTGAGCAGGGTTTTCCCCTGTTCCTCTCTCCCTTGCAGCCTCCAGCATTGAGGGTCCAGGCAGGGCTGATGCAGAGCCCGTGCCCCTCACTCCTAATAGTTCCTGATGCCCCTTTCCTCCAAGCACGTGTCCAAGCCCTGGTGAACTCATGTCTGGTGGCACTGAGCTCCAGCTGTTAATGCTGCACTGGGTGGCAAAGAACTGCCTCGTGTTGGTTTTAAACTGCTGGCTTGCTCGTTTCATGCAGTGACCCCTCGTTTATAGAAAACGTTATCAATATACACTCAAGAGATCGCATGCAGAGGCCGTGCCCTGCTTGCAGAGGAAGGCAAAACCCCCCAGGCCTTATTAGTCTGGTGAGAGAGAGTCAGTAATAAACTCCTAGTTTACTTTATGTTGTAAACCCTTCTGTCCTCCCTTGAGTGTCTCTTTTCTGAACACAACAGTTTCCAATCTGCATGAAGCCCCTCAGCCCTCCCCCCCAGCCAGGCCTTGCCCACCTCCCCCCGACCCCCCTGCAAGTACACGTACGGTGCAGGGGTGCTCAAAGTCCCCTTCGTTGACCTCGGGGCACAGGAGGCTGACACGCCAGGAGTTGCCGAACAGGTCGGCCGTGGGCTCCACCATGCCCTGCTGGCTAGTGAAGTCGTTCTCCGTGTCCCCATCGAAGTTCCCGCACAGCCCTGCCACGCGGCCCTGGAAGACGGGGTCCAGCTTCACGTACACCCGGGTGCCTGTGCAGGGGAGGAGGAGGAGGGACGCAGCCGGCTCAGGTGCTGCTGGGTGCAGGAAGCACTGGAGACAGCCCCCACAGGTGCCCTGGCATCTCAAAGCCATGTCTTGGGGGGACCCGTCCCTGCCCGGCCAGTCCTCCAGCAGCAAAGGCCCAACAACCTCGGGAGGGATGCCAGGGGGGTGTCTCCACCCTGGAGCTGCCCCTAAGCCTGCAGGGCCCTGCCCCAGTCCCCCCTGCTGCACCCCCACCAGCGAAGTGAGCTTCACCTCCATCCCAGAGCACTGTGAGCCCCAGCTGGGAGATGAGGATGAGGAAGAGGCCGGCACGCTCCAGGGTCAGGCCGTTCCCACCGTAAACCTTGGGCGGCCGCACGGAGGCTCCGTTCACCGTCACATCCCTTCCTGGGGGGTTGGGAAAACAACATGTGTGAAAACACCCGGCGCAGCTCGGAGCCCTACCATGCAGCACAGGGACCACCCCGCCCAGCTGGGGATGCTGGCTTCCCACTGCCGAGGGCAGATCCAGGGGGTGCAGCGATGCACTCGCACTCTGCTTTGATCCCTGCATCACCCCAAACTTAAAGCCTAGCGGTGGCAGCAGCATTTCTAGTCAGGCAGCACTGACGGAGTACACGGCTCGTTGCCATTGACCCGATTCCTGCTACTCTCTCCGCTTCGCAGGTGTTAACCACTTCTCTCCTTTTTAATAGTCTTTTTGTTCTATGAATTAAGCTTAGGGTTGGACATTGGACCCGTCAATCAGGTTTGGTCAATGGACTGGTCAGATATCGGTCAAAAACTGTAAAAAAATTGCCACTAGGTCCAAATAATACAGAAAAAAAAATACAGAATGTTATTGCTAATACGTCCAAATGATACAGAAAAAGCACAAATTTTCCTGTAAGAAATGCATCAAAAAACAATTTTAAAAAATATTTTTTTCTGTCAAGAAAACTACCAAAAAAAGTAGGGTTTTTTGGTAAAATTGCTATCATCTTTAACTGGTCTAAAAAAATGCAGTCAATTGACAATATCTGACCAGTCAATTGACCGGCTTGCCAAACTTAATTAAGCTATCCTTTCTTCTGCAGTTCAGCTGTCCTTTTAGCCAGCCTTGGTAATGACTCTCTGGTATCTCACAGCCCTGCAGACTGCATTTAATTCTAGCTAAAAACATTAACTCAAGTGTGGTAATACTAACTCAGGAGTCATACTGACTGGCGACGACTGACCGCAAAGGGGTGCATGCCCTGTCAAGGTGCTGAAGAAGGCTAGATTTTGGTGAATTAATCTGAATAAGAGATGTACATTCAACTCTAATGGCTACAAGACTAATAAAATGACACCTTTTGGTTGGGTCCAGAGAAGGGCAACAAGGATGATGAAGGCTATGGAGGGGCTTCCCTATCAGGAGAGACTAACCAGGCCAGGCCTGGTCAGGTTAGAGAAGAGTTGCTTGAGGCAGGACAGGAGAAGGATTTACAACATATTAAAAGGTAAAGAGAAAGTCACTAGGGATTAATTATTGACTCTCTCATCTGACAAACAAGGGGTCACCATGAAACGGCAGCTTAAAACCAACACAACTAGGGACATGTCACTGATTCTTTGGGACAAATGATACCAAAACAGGGACAGGAGTAAAGGTCAATGGTTTATAGCTAGTGCATGGACGGGGGACATCAGGCAGAAAAACTGGGCAAGATGGACCTGTGGTGTGACCCAGTCTGGTCGACTGATGTTCTTATTTTTTGTCTAGTTTGTCGTGTTTTTTAAACTTTATGCAGGATCTTTCCTGCCCAGAGCTGGGCGGGGGGCTGGACCCAACGATCTCTCGAGGTCCCTTTTAGCTCTAAACTTCTGTGAATCTAGCAAATCAGCCCCTCGCCTCTCAACTGGGGGGCACCGTCCTCAGCTCCCTTCCCCGCGGCCTCTCACCTCTCAGGAGGTGGACAACGGTGTTGCCGATCTCCACAACCACAGATTTGGTGCAGGTGATGCCACTGGTGCCGCAGGGCACGTTCTCGACAGTGACAGAGAAGAGGCCGCCGTGCTCGCGCACCAGCACATACTCGCAGTCGCCCAGGAAGGAGAAGGCCCGCCCGTCGAAAGTGATGTAGTGGGGGTCCCCCGAGGCCATGCAGGTCCCTGCGCACTGGTGGCTACTGCACTGCCAGCGCCGGCTCCGGCACACGCTGTAGGGACAGGGGCTGAGCTCCAAACACGCCAGCCCAAGCCCTTGCCCCTCGAAGGCACCCCCATGCTGGAAGGGGTGCCACAGTCCTTACCAGGTGTTGCAGTCCTTGATGATGGTGTCATTGGGCTGGTACAGCCGGCCGTTGTGTTGGCAGGGACACTCTTCCGGGGAGACGCAGCGCTCGTTCTGGGGGTGGAGGAGTGAAGACAGGACAAGAGGGTCTCTGTGAGGTGGCAGGGGCCGATCCCAGTTGGGATACAGCAGCTGGGGTGCATAACAGCTTGCTCCACTGCAGGGGTGAACCCAGGCATCCAGAGGGGAGTGGCCGGTCTGCTGACCCTCTGTTCCCAGCCCACCCTTGGACCAAATGGGTCAGCAATGTTCCCAGCACCCCCTGAGCCCAGCCCAGAGCAATGCAAGCCGCCGCCTACCCCATGGGGTCCCACCCCCGGCTGAGCTGCAGGAGCAGGAGTTGGGGCTCACCAGGAAGACAGTGCCAGGGGGACAAACGCAGCCTTCGGTGAGGCCGGAGCAGCTCAGGTTGCCCTCCGGGCTGTCGCAGGTGTGCAAGCAGCCCCCGAAGGCATAGACCAGCTCCCCAGGGCAGCTCACGGCCTCGGGGCAGCTGGCATCCGTGCAATTCCAGGCTCCGTCCATGCAGACACTGCAAGAGAGACCAGATGTGGGCATAGGCGTGGGAGCGCCCCTGGGCCAGCGTCTGCACTAGGAGTGGGGAAGACCAGATGGGATGAGATGCCCTGATTGCACGAGGGATCGTGGCCCACGTGCCCATGTGGCACCTGGAGTCTTGCTCCTTGCTTGGCTATGGGACTCCAGGGCATGAGGGACTGGATGGAGGAAGAAGCTCCACTGCTGGGGTGGGCTTCCCCGCTGGAAAGAAGCACCCGCCCCCTAGCAGCCCAGACCCCCGGGAGCCCCCGTGCGGGGTGAGAGCCGGCGTCACGTGGCAGAGACATGCAATGAAATCAACCTATCCTGTGGCAGCGTGGGAAACAGGCCGTAGGGTGATTTCATCAAACATCTCCTACCACCACTTCGCCCGTAGCGGGAGCATGACCAGCCCCCATCCGCCACCACCCCTCTGCCGTGGAGGCGACGAAGCCCAGTCCAGCGGGTCTGAGCAGGCCTCATTGCAGGGCCCGGATTCACTTGCCCCAGGACATGCACAGCCCTTGCACTCGCTGCCATCCCAAAGGGGAAGTGCAAGACCCAGAGCCCCCAGCCCTGCACATAGCCCCTTCCCCTGCAGACCCATGGGGCCAGTGGGGCTCTGGGACTGAGAGCATCAGACTCATTGCTCTGCCCCATCAGCCCCCAGCTTGGGCTTGGTTTGGAGCCGGCACCTGTTACAATTCCCCAAGCCGGTAACCATCACCTGTGGCCTGGAGGCTGGCTGGGCTGTGGGCAGCTCACACGCCTCCCCACTGCTGCCCATGACCCCAGCACGGTGACCTCACGTGCCAGAGGCATGAGCCACGTGGCACAGCTGGTGTGGCCCCGCTACGGTTCCCTGTCTACGCACCAGGTATTGCAGCTCCGGCGGATCCTGCTGCCCGGTGGGTGGGTCTCGTCCCCATGCAGGCAGGGGCACATGGCAGGCGGGATGCACTGCCCGCCCTCATCCAGCACCAGCCCCTCAGGGCAGTTGCACCCGGCCACGCAGACGTCCAGCTCCTGGCAGGCGCCGGCCCCATCCAGGTTCAGGTCGGAGCAGGTCTTCCGGCAGGGAGCGCTGCACTCCTGGTACACCTGGCCCCCACCGCACTGCACGCCTGGGGGCACAGGGCAGGGGCCTCCGCTTAGTCACACACAAACAAACGTCAATGTACAGTTTCAAGCGAGGCTAACCTAGCAAAATAGTGATTTTTGGTATCGTTTTGTAACGTGGATCTAAACAACACGCATCATGTACAAGCGCCCAGAGACGTGGGGCTGCAGAGGTCCCATCTAGTCCCCGGGGGAGGCGCACTCACCGCAGAAGGTCTGGTTCCTCCATGGCACCGGGGCCCCCTCCTGGGCACACTGCCGGGCGTAGGCGGCCACGGCTCCGCACAAACAGTCCTTGTCGGCGGGGCAGCCACAGACGTCATAGAGGCAGAGCTGGTGGAAGGGCTCCCGGTCCACCAGGTGGTGGCAGGGCTGTGAGGGGCAAGAGGGTGGGGAGCATGGAGGGGCTCAGAGCCGCTCCAGCCATCGGCCTCCCTGCATGGACCCCGGGAGGGTGCCCATCTGGAAAGGCCCCAGTACCCCCTGGCTGGGGGCCCAGATTGGAACCAAGGCCCACATCTGTGCTGGGCTGTGGACAGGACGTGTGCAAATGGACACACGTGGAAGTTAGTCATATGAACAACCAGCACAAGCATACATGGGCACAAGGGATGGGGCATTCCTAACTGGCCCCAAAACCAGACAGCACGGGAGGATGGGTGGGCACACACGCATATGCAGTCAGGCATGTGCACATGCATGTGAGCACACAAAACACATGCACAGATGTGCACATGTCCACAGACATCCATGCACACACGTGAGCACACAAAACATGCATGTGTGAACATATAGACGTACATATACGTCAGGGGTCGACTCGATGATCTATTGAGGTCCCTTCCGACCCCTAACATCTATGAATCTATATACATACATAGTACACAAGACAGTCACATGGGTGAACACTCAAGCAGACATGCATGTACACACATCTGAGCACACAAAACAGACACATACGAGGGCACACTCACATAGGCATGCATGTAAGCAAAGGTGAGCACGCAAAACATACATGTGTGCCGATATGCATTTACACACACAAGCAGACAAAATGCATGTGCCCTCACATGTGAGCACGCAGAATGTACACGTGTTGACACACACACATGCGCACACCCTGCACCAGACAAGCCCCCCTGACTCCACCTTGCTCTGCAGCATCCCCCATCCCCACGGCCTCTGGTCCCCAGCCCTGGTGCGTACCTGGAAGGCAGGGCCATGCAGCATGGCACAGGCGGCCTCGGCGAAGGCGCGGTGCTGGGCGTAGGTGCTGCAGGGGTCGAAGGTGGCGGCGCTGGGCACGGGGCACTCACCCGACACCCGGAACTTGTGGGCAAAGGCGGCCGCGCCGGCCTCCACATCCCCTGCCGGCGTTGTGAACTCATCCTGCTGGTTCCAGTTGTACGTGCCGCACAGCCCACGCACCTGCGGGAGTCAAGACGGGGATCAGGAAGGGGGGACGGCCACAGTCCTGCACCTCCTGGGAGGGGACCCCAGCCATGGCCTCTCCCCAAGCCTCCCCAGGGTCCATGCCAGGACCTGGGGAGATGTGGGAAGGGACCCCAAGGCCTCACCTTGTGGGCAAAGGCAGGCTGGAGGGTGATGTAGGCAGCAGGGAACTCCAGCCCCCACAGCACATGGGCTCCAAAAGCCTGGAGCAGCAGGAAAGAGGCCGAGGCTCTCCGGATGGTCAGGTCGGTGCCCGCAAAGGGCAAGTCCACCTCGTGCCCATTCACCACCACATCTCCTGCAGGAGGGACAGCAGGAGGAGGCATGAAATAAGGAAGCAACCTGCAGAGAGAACAGAGGGGGGTCCCATACCCCTGCCCCCTTCCACATCTGTCTGAACCAGCCACGGCACCACCCCGGGGCTGGTAACCCGTGGAGGGGAAAGGTGCTGGGCACTGTGCTCTGGAGTCGGTTGCCCCTAGAAGGGAGAGCCACATGCCCCCTCCCTCTCACCCCAGCCCAGCCTGTAATCCCATTAAGCGCCTCCAAAATGCCTTCCCTCTCCATGCGCCGGGGTCACCTGTGGTGCGCAGCTGTGCGGAGGTCTTGTGTGCCGTCACAGTGAGCGCCCGTAAGCAGCTCATGGTCCCAGAGCTCCCGCAGGTCGTGCTCTCAGCCGTGATCCGCAGCTTCCCATCCACGAAGTCCTGCCGGGCAGCAAATCCCACACCCCAACCCGGTCAGTGGGCGCTGAGACACAGGGCACCCCATGTAGCCCCCCAGAAGCTGATCATCCCAAATGCAGGGGAACCCCGGAGACATTGGGAAGCTCCACCCGGCATCTACCCCCAGACCCAGGGGGATGCCCCCAGCCCCTCACCTGCACCAGGATGTACTCGCAGGCCCCGTGGAAGGAGTAGCGCTTGCGGTCGAAGGTCACATAGTGCGGGTTGCCCAGCACGGCACACTCGGCCGCACACTTGTGCTGGGAGCAGAGCCAGTGCCCGCCCTGGCACGTGCTGCAGGGGTGGGAGGAGGCTCCTAAACCCAGGACCCCCTGCCTTGTACAGACCCCATGCAGGGATTTGGCACTGCCGGCACTCAGGACCCCTGGGGTTGGGCACCCAGCACGCCTGGTCCATAGCAGGGCATAGGCGGCATCCATGGGAAGTGGCCCCCCTCCAACAAGCTTATGGGGTGTCTCCCCTGGAGACTGTGGCATCGTCCCCAGAGCATGGCAGCCATTGGTGCCCCTCCACAACCAGAGCTGCTTGGGGGCCCTTTGGCAGCAGCCGAAGTCCCACCACAAAGGATTCTGGGACTAGACAGCAGCCAGGGACCCACCACAAAGGATTCTGGGAACAGGCAGCCTCCAGGAACCCACCACAAAGGATTCTGGGAATGGGTAGCCTCCAGGGACCTGCCACAAAGGATTCTGGGAGTGGACTGCAGCCAGGGACACACCACAAAGGATTCTGGGAATGGGCAGCCTCCAGGAACCCACCACAAAGGATTCTGGGCAAGGCCCTGAGGGTCCTGCCGGGCAGGACGGGGCGAGTGGATGGGTAGCCACAGGGCTCGGCCAGACTCACCACTGGTTGCAGCGCTGCTGGATGGTGTCCCCCGGGGCGTAGCGCTGGCGGCGGTGGTAGCAGGGGCAGGTGGCCTCAGGCACGCAGGCGCCCTGCTCCAGGTACAGCCCGGGCGGGCACTCACAACCGCTCACACACTCATCCCGGCAGTGCCCATCCTCGGCAGCGCCTGCGGCCGCGCAGCTGGCTGGGCACGAGGACACACAGTCCGAGTACTGCTTGCCCCCGTCACACTGCTTCTCTGCGGGGACATGGGCACCGCGGCGCTTCAGCCACCTCTGTTCTGCTCGGCTCTCTGCAGCCAGGGCAGCCTCAGGGAGACCCACCCCAGCCGGGACCCTTGCTGGCGGCAGGAGAAAGCCCCTTATCCCACCCTCGGGCCCAGCACTAACACTGCCTCGGGCCAAACCGGGGCGAGGCAGGGCAAGGCAGGGCAGGGCAGCTCTGGGGTGACCCACAGGCAGGACAGAGTGCCCCTATGTGTGGCAGGGTGTGTGCGAGGGAGAGAGAGCGAGCACGTGAGCGTGACTGTGTGGGTGGGTAGATGAGTGTGAGCATGTGGGTGTGATTGCATGTGTGTGTGTGTGTGTGTGTGAGAATGAGTGAAAGCATGTGGGGTGTGACTGCGTGTGCAACTGAGTGAGAGCATGTGGGTGACTGTGCATGTGTGTATATAAGTGAATGAGTAAGAGCATGTGGTTATGACTGTGGGTGTGAGAAAGCATGTAGGTGTTACTGGGGGGTGTGAATGAGTAAGCACATGGGTGTGACTTGTGTGTGCATGTGAGTGAATGAGAGCACATGGGTATGACTATCTGTGTGTGTGCATGTGAGCATGACTGGGAGTGTGGGGGCACAGATGAGTGAGAGTGTGTGGGTGTGAGAGAGAGCATGTAGGTGCAACAGGGAGGGTGTGGATGAGCATGAGCATGTGGGTGTGACTCTGTGTGTGCACATGTGTGTGAGTGAATGAGAGCATGTGATGGCTGTGTGTGCATCTGCATGCACACATGAGCATGATTGTGGGAATTTGTGAGTGCATGAATGAGAGAGTTTGCTGGTGTGAGAGAGGATAGGTGTGGCTGGGTGGGTGCAAATGAGTGTAGCATGTCAGTGTGACTGTGTGTGCATGTGTGTGTGAGAGAGAGTGAATGAGAGCATGTGTGTGTGCACACACATGTGAGCACAACTGTGGGAGTGCATCTGTGTGTGTGCAAATGAGTGAGAGTGTGTGGCTGTGACTGGGTGTGAGTGCAGGTCAGTGAGAGCTGTGGGGGGAGGGAGGTTGGGGGGGCTGCGCCCCTGTAGGGTCTGTGCACAGCACTGCAGCGAGTGTAGCAGCTGGGAGTGAGAGCACAGCTGTGCAAGGTGAGGGTGGGGGTAGGTGTGAGCGCTGGAGAGGGTGAGCGCTGGCACCTACCGCAGAAACCAGGCCGCCTCCAGTCCACGTAGATGTGGCGCTGGGCACAGTCCCGGGCATAGCTGGCGAAGGTCTCGCAGATGGCACCAGGCAACGCGGCCCCAGCCCCCGGCTCCTGGCAGTACACGTACACACAGGCATCGTAGAAGCCACCCGGGTCCACCTGCCAGGGCAGAAGCTGAGTCAGTGAGCTGGGCACAAAGCAGAGGGCAGGGGGCCTGCCAGGCACAGTAACCTCGGCTTCTGACCTCAGAGTGGCACTGGCTGAAAGGATTGGCCAGCAGCTTTTGGCACGTGGCCTCAGCCTCCCGCCGCACGGCACCGTCTCCTGTTTCATCGCAGCTGTGTCTGACCTCCGCCGCGTCCTCGCAGGGCTGCTGCAGCAGGAGGAGCCCGTCAGCGTTAGGTACCGCAGTGCCCACCCCCCACGGCCAGGCGGGGGCAGGGGGGCAGCCCCCCACGGAGCCTCCTGCAGCCACCCTGGGCATGGCACAAGGGAGAGCACCCCCTTCTGGCACACCAGGCAGCCTGCAGCTGTTCCCTGGAGGTCTCCCTCACAGGCCCCCGCTACATGTTACAGACATTGTGCGAGTCACTGGTGAATCGCACAATGCATTTAGATCGGTCACACATGCAAAGTAATTACCACACAATTAATCGGTCATCCCACAATACATTTAGACCAGCTACATGTGCAAAGTAATTATCATACAATTAATTGGTCATTGCGCAATACATTTAGACCAGGCATGCTGGCAAAGTAATTACCAGACAATTAACTGGTCATTGTGCAATGCACTTAGGCCAGCCACACATGCAAAATAAAAATCAGACAATTAACTGGTTAATTCTGCAATAAATTTAGACAAGCTACATGTGCAAAGTAATGATCACACCAGAAAAATGATTAGGCGGCTATAAAAAGAGCCAACCCGCTACAGTTAGTGCTTGAAAACATGTCACAACTTTATAGCTGGTTGCTATCTGGCTTTCATTTGAACGTGTAGCCGGTCCCCCCGGCCTGGGCGAAGGGCATCATGGGGCCCCCTGCCCAACTGAGGCCACAGAGCCGGGTGAGACGTTGCTGCAGCAGGGCAGCCTGGCTCTGGGGACCCGATACCTCCGTGCCGGCCTCCGGGATCCTCCAGGAGTTCCCAAAGCTGGCAGCGAGCGTGGTCACGTCCCCTCCGACACGTAGGAAATCATCTGCAAGCAAAGGAGAGAGGCTGGGCATGGTGGGGACGGGGAAGCAGCTCTGCTGGGGAGAGACGCGTGGGTCAGGGGCCGGCAGGAATGTCCTCTGTGCTGTGCCCTGCCAGCCTCTGTCTCCGTGCCCCCTGCAGCCAGCCACGGCTGCCAGCTGACTGCCTCCGCCTCTCGCACCTCGGAGGGCAGTTCTGGTGCTGGCTTTAATGTGTGCGTGCACACACATGTGCATGTTCTGTATGCTCACATGTGTGTGCAAACATGCCTGTGTGAGAGCGCACACAGGTGCATGCATCTTGTATCGGTGTCAACACATGTATGTTCTATGTGCTCACACAGTTGGGTGCACACATGCCTGCATGTACACACATGTGCACGAGTCTTGTATGCATGTCAACGTATATGTTCTACGTGCTGACACACACCATGCCTGCATGACTGTGAGACCTTACATGGGCACGCATTTTGCATGCTCGCATGTGTGTATGTGCATGCCTGTGTGAAATGTGAACACGCATGCATGTTTTGTGTGCTCACGTAAGTGCATGGATGTCTGTGTGCATGCCTGACTACATGTGCATGTGCACACCCATCCTCCGGGACCAGGCAGAAAGGCCCTAACCCATGTGTGTACATGCTGGCTGTCTGTATGACTAATCTCCACACGTGTCCATTTGCACACGTGCTGTCCACAGGCAGGCACAGACAATCTAGTCTCCTTGCCTCCAAGCTTGTCTGTGGGGCCCCAGAGGAGACTGTGATGTCTATAGGGCCCCAGGGGAGGATGCTGTTCCCGAGGGGCTCAGTGGTGAGAAGGGCGCCCACCCGGCAGGGCTGCGAGTACCTGTAGGGTCGTCGTTGTAGTGCCCGCAGAGCCCACGCGTGGTGCCCCGCAGCTCAGCACCAACCGTGACATAGACGGTGTCACGCCCATCCGACTTCACTCGCACACCCAGGCCGCTCTCCACGAAGACGAAGTCCCCAAGCCAGCGGATGCTGATCCCTGTGGGGCAGAGCACAGGGTGGGGGGCTCAGCAGCGTGGAGCTCCCAACCCTCACCTTAAGGTGACAGGGCCCAATCCTGACCTTGCCTGGCGTGGATGGCCTGTGCCCTCTGAAGAGCCTCCCTCAGGGTCTAGGCAGCTCCTCCCAGGTGCCCCCTGGCCCTGACAGACCCTTCTCCAGTGCAAGCAACTGCCCCCCTCCCATCCAAACTGGGACCTTTCCCATCAGCTTCTAACCCTTTGCTCACCCAGGCCAGGGCAGGTTAATCACACAATAAATTTTGCAGTGCCCCGATGGGTGCATCAAGGGGACTGCGCAATAAATGTTGTGATGCCCCAATGGGTGCAGCAAGGGGACTGCAGCCCTGAAGCACAGGGTGCAGATGGTGTGGCTCCCCCCAGCTCAGTGCCCCCCTCGGGCAGGGCTCAGGACCCCCTCACCATTCTGCAGGTATGGCTGCCCCTCCGGCACCGCGGCCCCATTCACCGAGATGCTCCGGCCTTCGGCCACAACCAGGTCCAGCCCGAACATCATGCGAAGAGCCTGCAGAGGGGCAAAGGGTCAGACCCTAGGTCTGTCTAGCCCATGATTCATACTGGGGCAGGGAGCATGGCTGAAGGGAGAGTGACTGGGGCTGAGCAGGGTTTTCCCCTGATCCTCTCTCTTTGCAGCCTCCAGCATTGAGGGCCCGTGCCCCTCACTCCCTACCCCAGAGCTCCTGATGCCCCTTTCCTCCAAAAACGCATCTGATCCCTTGGTGGATCTGCTGAGCTCTCAGCTCCCACCGCATCCGGGGGAAAGCATGAGCCTCACACCTTCATGGGTGACAGAGAACTGCCTTGTATTAGTTTTAAGCTTCCTACCTGCTCCTTCCATACCATGACCCCTCACTCTTGTCTGGAGAGAGACAGCCAGTCATAAATCCCTAGGGATTTTCTCATTCCCATTAAGTGTGTTGTAAGCCCTTCTCCTGAACCCGCTCAAGCGTCTCTTTTCTAACGTGACCTTAGTCTCTCCTCCTAGGGAAGCCCCTCCATAGCCCTCAGCATCCTTGTTGCCCTTCTCTGCACCTTTGCTAGCTCTTCTCTCTCCTTTTGGAGGTGCAAGGACCAGACCTGTGTTCAAGGTGTGGCCACGCATGTATAAAGAGGGACTATTTTATTTGCAATTCTCCCCCAGGCTCCAGGGACTCACGGGGCTCTGGGGACCACGGAGCAAGTCCAAAGCTGGGTACTTTGGGTTCCTCCTCGCCCCTTCAGCCTCACCACACTGCTCCTCCTCTCTGCCCCCAACTCCCCTGCATGTCCACTCTGTTTCCGCTTCTCTTCCACCTCGTCCCCCCCTCGCTCTCCATCCTCTCTTCCCCTCTCCTCACTGGGTCTCCTCACCCGCGTGCAGTGCCCCGGTGGGGTGCAACCCCCGGCCCCGGCAGAGATGTAGACAGCCCAGGTGCCATCGGAGGCAGCGGCCAGGCTGTAGGTGCAGCCCCCATGGAAGCGGAAGTGCTTCCCATCGAAGCTGCGGTACTGGACGCCGGCCCACGTCACGCAGGTGGCGAAGAGGCGCTGGCCGCCCCGAGACAGGCCCAGCAGGGCGGTGGGGGGAGACGGCCGGAGCAGGAAGGGTCCTGGCAGGCCTCCTGCGGGGGAATGTGGAGACTTGTCACCCCACGCTGGGATCCGTGGGGGCTTCCCACTGCTGGAGGGGGGCTGCCTCGGGATACCATGCCACCCCAATATCCCTAGGGCTAGATAGGAGGAGGTATCCACCATTGCATGCCCCACCTGCCCCGCAGACCCACCCCTGGGGCTCATCACCCACCTGTGAGGGGCAAGTAGGCGCAGCTGAAGCAGAGCGCGGAGGACGTGTTCCTCCAGCTGTGGCCCCAGGGCCGGCTGCAGCACTCGGCTATGCTCATCAGCGACAGGTTGAGGGCACTCGGGAAGTCCTGGCACTGCCAGGTGGAGAAGCAGTGGCCCAGCAAGCCCTCACCTGTGGGGAGCAATGCTGGTCACCGGGCCCGGGACCAGCTCTGCTCCCCCCGGCAGCCCGGCTCAGTGTTGGGCAGATGCCAAAGCATCAGACCTGCCCAAGTGGAGATGCCAGGAGCGCCGAGCAGCGGGTTTAGGAGCAGCCCTGGCCTCCCAGTGCCCCCAGCCCTGGTGCTCCCCTCACCCTCAGTGCAGCGGGGTCCGCTCCAGCCCTCGCAGCAGGCTCGCACCGTGCGGTTCCACACCAGGGGCCGCGTGTCCTGGGGTCTGCAGGGCAGGGGGGAGAGTCACGGAGGGGGCTCTTCTCTGTCCTCCTCCCCCCATGCTATCGACATCTGCACCCACCATATCTCCCCGCTGGCCGCACTCACTTGTAGATGTAGCACATGGAGTCGGAGGGCCCGGACTGGGCGTAGTAGTGGGCGATGCCCAAGTCCCCGCCGTAAGCCTGGCGCATCCTCTCCTGGTCGAGGCGCCAGCCCACCAGGTTGTACTGGTACACGCTGGCGCAGGGCACCACGTTCTCACGCCGGGGGCTCAGCACCTCCTCCTCCGTCACCTGCACCGTGCGCTCGCACCAGCGCCTGCAGCCGCAACACTCGTGTCACCCCGCGTCAGCCCCAGTCCTGATCCGTGCGCCGTTCCCTGCTCCCTCGGCCAACTTTTAAGCATGCCCCGACCCAGAACCCAGCTGGAAAGGGGTGCCCCACAACCAATGTGCCTGCTGGCACCAACTCCACAGGGTCCTGGCAAGAGGGTCTTGCCCCTGCGCTCAGGCTCAGCCCCCTCTGCACCGGGGGCAGGAAAGGACCGGTCCGCTTTGCAGTCACCTCTGTTCCTTCACCCCACCCAGACCCACTCCCACCCCAGCAGAGGGCACTGGGGAAGACCGGGAAGGGGCTAGGTAGGGCTGTGACTCCCAGCCAGGTGCCCTGAAGACCCCCTGAAACATGGGAGGGGGTCAGATGCCCTTTTTGGAAGTTAATTGCATCTCCCCAGCTGTGGGGAGACACCACAAAGCCAAAGGCCCGGCCTCCTGCTCTCCACCAGGCAGAGGAAAATGGGACGTGAAGAGGCTTCAGCATCGTCCCTGCTGAGAGAGTCCGGGGGGGGGGTTTGGAGCCAGTGTTGCAAAGGCACCGGCAACACCCGAACCGCCAATGCAGATGGGCAGAGGGACACGGTGAGGGGTGCAGCAGGGATCAAAGCACATGGAGGACCCCGGGCAGCCATTCCCAGTGTGGCTGGATGTGCGGACTTACCCATCAGATGATGCTGCTGTCATCCATATGGAGAGCCAGGCCAGGAAGCCCACCCGGACCCTGGGGTGTGAGCAAGGCTGCGCTGGGCTCCTCATTCCCAACCCCGCCATCTCCAGAGTCCTGCGGGGAGAGAGAGGCACGTGGCAGAACTCCCCTGGGCCAAGCCCTCAGCTTGGTTGCAATGATGGTGGGGCTCATGGTCTCTCTGCATTGCTCACCGCTTCCCAAACCCCTCCAGCAGCAGCACTCAAGCCAGCCTGGGCTGCGGGGTAGGAAGCAGCTCCTGCCATGGGCAGGGTCTGGCATACCTGGCTGCTCCAGGGGGGTGTCACCCTCCTCCAAAGCCCCTGGACCAGGTGATCCCTGATCTCCCCACCTGACATCCCTGTCCCCGGCAATGGGGACACATCCTACAGCTCACCCCAAGCAATGGAGAACCCACCCTCTGCAATGGTACCCATGCCCATCCGCCCACTGGCTTGACTCCCCGGGCCAGCACAGGCTGCTGGGAGGGGATCTTGGGGACACGGGCTCGGTGTTCACAAGGATGCCCCATTTCAATGCGCCGTGAGGCCCCGGCACCAAACCCTCTTACCCGAGGGCTCTAGTCGGCGGTGCCTGGGTCTGCCTTCCCCCAGCCCCTGGCACCTAGGGCTGCATTGCTGATTGCTCCACCCCAGCAGCGCTGGGACCGCGGCAAGCCCCGGAGGGAAGACTTTATATCCTGCAGGATTAGCTGGGCCCCGAGACATCTGAGGAGCCCTGGATTGGAGAATCCCCTGCGAACCACAGCTGCCTCACTTTGTATTTGCTCTGCCCACTCAGATGGAAACCCCCTCCACCAGCTGCCAGCTCCCCACCTCCTCCCAGGGCTTGCAGGGGGGCAGAGCTCTGCTTCCAGCCTGTACAGCTCAGGATGCATTTTGGAGGATGAGCTGGCCTGACTCCAGCTCAGCATCCCATATCCGGCATGTCTCTGCTGGATTTCAGTCCAGGCCAGGCAAGTCTGATCAGCCTGGAGCTCATGGACAGGCAGGAACGCCACGGGGCAGGGGAGCGGGGGAGCAGAGAGGAGGACTGGCTGGGGCCAGAGATTTGGGACAGCTTGGGGCAGCACCCCCAAATCTGCAGGCAGGGAGATACAGGTGCACCTGAGGCATCTCCAGCACACAGGCAGGTGGCAGGGCAAGGCTTTGGCATTCAAGGCCATGGAGATGGCATCTCCCCTGCCAGGTCAGTAAAACCCCTTGGGCCGAAAACCACCTCATTGCCTCACAGTATCCAGAGATCCCTGGAGGATGACACCCCGGGGTGCAATCAGGGCCATGAAGGCTGCCAGGAGAGACCTCTCTGCCCCCTTTTTCCGAGGGGAAGCCATGCTGAGCATGGACAGAGGCTCTCCAGGATGTTTTCCAGCTCTGCACAGACAGGCATGTAACTAGGATGCAGCCCTGGGCCGTGCCTGCATCCACGTCTGTGAGCTCTGGCTCCCCACCAGCTTCCCCGTCACCGACACGGATCTGCCTTATCCTCACGTCCTGGACGCGGGCTCATCCCCTCTAGGAATGCCTGGGGTCACAGCCCCCAGCCCCGCCTGCATGCTCCCAGCTCCGCGAGGGGGTCAGGCTGGCAGGGCAGGGGAAGACGAGCAGGCCCGTCTCCTCGCAGAGCATTGCAGCCCCTGCCCCATCCAGACCAATTCCCCCAGTGGAAAACCTGGCCTTCCAAGTCGGTCTCACATGCATGCAAGCTGCGGAGCAGCTGCAGGACCAGCCTGCAGTTCCCAGGTCCCGTGCATCCTGGGCTGTCCACCATTCGTGGCCTTGCTGCATCTGCCTGAGCCTGGTTGTCACCTCCAGCTCTTCTGTCAGAGCCTGGCTGTCCTGGAGCAGCCCCTTCCCCTAGCCCCAGGACAGGGTGAGAGCTCAGCAGATGCAGAAGGAGCCCAGGGGAGAAGGGGGTGCATGCATTTTGGGGGTAGGTGTGTTGTGGCGCTGGGATTGGGACCGGGTGAAGGCTAGGAGGGCACGATGTGCATTGAATTTGGGGAGAACGGGGCATCTTGCTATGAAACTGCAACACTGGTGTGCTCTCTCTCTTGCACACACACACTGGGGATTGGGGGTGGGAAGAAGTGGTCCAGGACTACACCCGGATATTATGACAACGGGGCCAGCCTCACAATTTCGGCGCTGTGATGCACAACTGCTCCGTACAGTCCAGGCTCATCCCAGGGGCAGCACCTCTGTCCCCCTGCCAGCACCTTGCTTTTGGGGCAACAAACTCCTTCGGCAGGGTCCCCGACCGCAGCCCAGATGGCACCTCTGTGGCAGGGCCTTTCATCCAGCGTTAGCCTGGCCCGTGGCCCAGATGGGGTCACGTTACACGATAAGAGGAAAAGAAACACTGCTACTAACGGCTCGCCTGTGGCCTTTTAAGCTAGCTGCTGTAACCGTGAAGGATTAACACACAAGCTCTTTGCTCCCCCAGAGGGGCCAAGGCCTGTTTTCTGGAGAGGGTTTGTACCTCTCATCCAGGGCCCACTACCAGGGGCAGGTCTGGAGGCTATGCCTGAAAGCAGGGTAGAGTTGCACCTTCTAGACTAACTCAGTTAGAGATACATAGTGCATAGTACACTAAAGATCAATTCATCTGATGCTGTGAAAGGAGGAGACACAACTTCAACCTCCTTCTGCTTGACTAACACAGCTCACTACATCTCTTGGCTCTACCAGAGCCAGCCCTGGAGCTCGTTCAGAAAAATCACAGACAAGTCAGGCTGGCAGGGCCCCCGGGAGGTCATGAGTCCAACCCCTTGGTCCAGGCAGCATCCACCCCGTCTGCATCATCTTTCCCAAGCATCCATCTAACCTCTTAAAAACCCTCCAGGATGGAGCCTCTGCATCCTCTCTAGGTATCTGCTCGGCCTTCAGAGTTAAAGAGCTCTTTCTAAACCTTGCTGCAATGTAAGCCTTTTGTTTCTTTGTGACACAGAGAAAGTCTAGCCCATTTCGGCAGTGATTTCACACCGTTGACTCATTCGGCCTGGGTGCACTAGGACCCACAGGACCTTCCCTGCCCTATGGCAGCCTGCATCGGTGCATGGTATTGCTCCATCCAATATGCAGCACCCGGTGCTCATCCTCACCGAATCCATCCCCGCGGCCAGGTGGGTCAGCGACACAAGCAAAACCACAGCGAGTTTTCAACAAAGTTCAGATCAGGGATCTCAGATGGGTGGGAGTGGAGAAGCCCAAACACGGGCAGGGAGATAGGGGTAAAGTGGGGTTGGGACACCCAGGTGTTTTCTGTTGCATTTGAGAAATCAAGGAACATGGCTGAGAAACTGTCTTGTGGGGTCAGGAAGCAGAGGAGGGTCTCATCACAGAGCATACAGGGAAGAAAGTTGTCAGCTCCTAGCACCAGGCTAAAGCCGTGGTTAGACTCATAGGACCAGAAGGCAGCTCCAGAGGTCCCATCTAGTCCAAGCCCAGCCCGAGGCAGGGTCAGCCCCATCCAAACCAGCCCAGATGAACCCGTGTCCAACCTTGGAGCCGCATGACAGTCACCCCTGACAGACCCAGGTATTGCCCTCACCCCCAAGAAAGCAGGAGGGTCACGGCCACCAACATCCTGCTGGTGCAAAGGGGGTTGACATGCTCCAAAGACCCCAAGCGAGGCTCCAAAGACCCCTGCTGCAGAGGAAGGCAAAACCCCACAGTGTGGACCAGTCTGAGCAAGGGGGAAATCCCCTCCTACCCCAGTGCAATGTCAGGCTGAGCCTGAGGACCCTCCAGCCAGGACCCTGCGGGGTTGGTACCAGAGGAGCATTGGCACAGCCCGGTCCCATCCCCAACCTGGGCTGCGCCCAGTGCCTTAAAAAACCCTTGACACATGGAGCAGAAGGGAAGGGGGCAACCGACACAGCCCAGCCCAGCAGACTGGGAAATCCCCATAGCAAAGCACAGGCATGCTGCACCCAAATCATCCCCCACCAGCCTCTCCTTGAACCCCTCCAGGGATGGAGAGTCCCCCTTCCTTGGCATCTCTTCTGCTGCCTGCAACAGTGAAGAAGTTGGCCCTCATGTGCAATCTAAATGGACTTTGCTGCAGCTTCGAACCACTGGGCCACGTGCTCCTCCCTACAGCAGGAAAGACCAGGAGCTTTCCCTCTTCTCCCCAGCAGCCCGACGGATTCGCAGACTGCTGTCAGGTCCCCCCTGCAGCGCCTTTCCTGACACCTGAACCTGCCCAGCTCCTCTCCTCATGTGCCTGCTTTCCAAGCCCTTCATCACCTCGATTACCTGCCTCTGGGCCCTCTCCAACTTCTCCATGTCCTTTTTAAAATGTGGAGCTGCCCTGGAGATGCGGCCTGACCTGTGCCAAGTAGAGAGGCACCGAGCCCTCCCGTGTTCCCAACCCTTTTAAACTCCCGGCAGCCCTCAGCAGACAAAAGATGCGGCTCAGAAAGCTTCAGCTTTTGGTTTTCACTCCATTTTCAACTAGAGGCACTGGAACCCAATGGTATTCCAGCAGTCCTCGACTTACAACGTTTCGAGTTACAAGGTTTTGCACTTACAACGTTTATAAATGGACATCCCATTTCAACTTTCTGACCTCCGTTTGGGCTTTACAATGCTTGATCGGATGCGACGCCAAGCCAGCAAAGTAGTTCACGGCGTGGCTCATCTCCCTGGAGAACATCTATCCAAATTTCCTTGGACACTTTCTTTAAGAAAGCAGACAGGACTCCAGAAAAAACCTGCAGTGGAGACTCCTGAGAAGACTCCAACCAAGAACCCTCCAAAAAGTCCTTTAAAAAAATCCAGCAAAGTCACCTCAAAGAAGTCCTTCCAAATCAACATGATTGCTATTTACAATATAAATACATTAATGTAGCTGTATTACTCATCTATAATTGATCGAGTACAAAATTCTGGGGTATTTTTGGTGAAAATAGGGTATCGGGTATCATTTATAACATTGTTTCTTATGAGCACATTGGTTCCGAGTTACAATGTTTCAGCTTAAGATCCGGTTTTCAGGAACCGCTTGTGTCGGAAGTCCCAGGACTGCTTGTAGTAAACAGTATAATAAGTGCAATGAAAATCCTAGAAAACGAGGACCTCAGGAGGTCACATCTAGACCAACCCCCTGCTCCAAACACATCATGCCAGCCAAGGCTTTGTTGAGCGACACCTCCACGGATGGAGAGAGTTTGCCCCGCCGCTCCCGTGCTTCCTCGCCCTCCCTCCCTCCCTCCCCGAGAGAAAGTTTCCCTAATACCCGACCTCAGCCCCCCCTTGCTCCTCGCCCTGTCCCTTCTGCTGCAAATCGCTCCCAGGCCAGGAGGGTTTCTCCCGGGAGGTCCCCCCCGGGGCAACCCCGGCCACTGCCGGACCCCG